GCATTTACTAGACCCCAGGGGCTGTGCTAAACCCATCGCATACCTTATTGTATCTCACTGAATCCTTGGAACAACTGCACAGGACCGGTACTGTTCTCATGTACATTTCACAGGGGAGGAAACAGATTTACGGAGGTTAAGTAGCTTCAGGTAAGTGGCTACCCCATGATTTGAACTCTGGTTGGCCCGGCTCAGGAATCCCTGTTCTTATCCCCATAGAACTTCCCTCTCCAATATGGTAGTCACTAGCCACATACATCTGCTCAAATGAAATAAAATTAAAAATTCAGTTCTTCATTCCTACTAGCCAGCTTTCAAGTTCTCTATAACCATATGAAGCTAGCGGCTGTCACATTGGACAACATGGAATATTTTCACCGTCACAGGATATTCTGGTAGAGAATATTACAGATGGAAAGGCCTCTGTACTATTTAGCCTCATTCCCACCCAAACCCCCATGTGGCAGATGAAAGAAAGTGAGGCCCGTGTTGGGGCAGGCCCCTGCCCAGGACCTCCCATCGGGACTGAGAGCTGAGATTCTGTCCCTCCTTCTGTCTGTCTCACACACATGCCTCCCCGCCCACGTTCTGTGCTTACTGATGTGGATGTATATTTCATACCCAGGGTGAGACACGTGCGCCTTGTCACACCCAGAGCCCCGTGGAATCTCACACACAGGGCATTGCCCAGGCTGGCCGCCCACAGCTGTGGGCAGACAGGCTCCCCTTGACCCCTTGTCACCCAGGAACACCTTCACAGACCCTCCCCGGACCGTCTGTGGACACTCACACTGGGTTCTCACACGCAGGCCTCATCCCTTTCTCTTAGGACCCCTGGTCTCAGCCTTCCACCCTGAGCTCCTCACCTTGGCCTCCTCCCCTCCCTGCCCTGCGCAGTTTCCAAGCTCCTGCCCCACCCCATGCTGCCCACCTGCTCAGCTCAGGGCCTCAGGGCCGTGGGAGGACTGGGCTGGCTCTTTTGTTGTTTGCCAAGGCTGCTGGGCTGTGGCCACTTGCTCATGCAGGACGGGAATGCAGAAATAGGCCTTTTTAAAGCAAAAGATACCAGAGAGGAGGTTAGTTTCATTTCTGCTGCAGATTCTCCTCTGCCCCTTGTCTCCCGGACCCCCAGCACCATGGTGAGCAGGGTGGATAGAGACCCAAGGCTGCATAGGTCGGGGTGAATTGCCTAGTTCAATATCACATTGAGGAAAAGTCTGGGCTCACAGCTTTGTGAGCCCAGAGCCCCTGCTCTAGAGGGTCACACGTTCCTGCCTTTGGTGGAGTCAGAAGAGCAAGTGCAGGTGGCCTGGATCCTCTTCACAGATGCACTAGGAATATGCCTGTTCACTCGAGGCCTCAGTTTCCCCATCTGTTAAATGGGGATCCTAATGTCAACTCCGCAGTTCTGCTATGGTCAAGAAGGAGCTTAAAGGTGCACGTGCATTTAAAAGGAAGATACCGTCTGGGTGTGGGAGAGGCTAGTACCCTCTGCATCAGTAGCTCTGAACTGGTTTTGATAAACTCCTCCCTCTGAACAGCTGCTAAAAGCTATGCATCCTTGCCCCAGAAAAAAATGCACATACCTATTCTCAGAGGCACAGGATGTCCTTCTGTGGGTACACGGGCCCTGTGGCTGCCCTCCCTAGTCAGTTCCCCTAACTAGAACCTAGTTAGGACCCCCCAGTTAGGGGCGCCTGGGTGGCTCCGTTGGTTAAGCAGCTACCTTCGGCTCAGGTCATGATCTTGGGGTCCTGGGATCAAATCCCATGCCAGGCTCCCTACTTAGCGGAGAGTCTGCTTCTCCCTCTTCTTCTGTGCTCTCTCTCTCTTGCTCTCTCTCAAGAAAATAAATAAAATCTTTAAAAAAAAAAAAAAAAGGACCCCTAATTAGAAGCTGGGATTTACACAAAAGCTTGGCACTGTGTTCTGAGAAGGAAGTTTAGCAAATGTACCTTCTCTTGTCTTACAGATGCAGCTCTTAGGTCCTCAGCTCCTAAGGCAGAGCCTAGGTTCATAGGGCTGCCAAGCTCCCCTGCAGAGAGTTGTATGTGACCCTCCCCATCAGTGCCGGCGTCAGAGCCTCTAGCAGGAGACCCCCAGAGGGCAGGCAGGAAACAGTGCCCTGGACCGCATGTTAAATGAAAATACAGATCCCTTGTGCCCTCACCTAGAAGCTCTGGTTTGGTTAAGTCTGGATAGGGCCTTGGTATATGTGTTTTTAAAATATCCCCGGGGGATTCCAAAGCAGCCAGTTTGATAAGCACGGGTCTAAGGTCTTTGCTTGGAACGGAATTTTTCATTTCGTTTTTTACTTTTCACTTAGAATTTGTTTCTTTAGTGGAGAAATTATATCCATCCCTCCTTCCTTGCTTTCCTCCCCCTACTCCTCCCCTCCATCCCTCCAGCCCACATTATTTGAAAGCTCTGGACCAAACACCGGCTGGATGCTGGTGAGTGAGGCAGGACCCAGCCCCTGCACTCAGGAGCTTATAGCCGCTCTCTGCCTGTGCCCCTGCTCTCCCTGGAGCTCTCCAACCTTTCCCGGATGAAGCCACTTTAAACACTCTCACCTGGGGCCTTGGGGATTGTGGTCTCCAGCTGGGCAGGGACCTGAAGGTCTTTGGGTCCATCCCCCCTGTCTGGGTAGGGTGGGCACCTTTGAGAGACCAGTCATGTCCTACCTTCTTCAGATGCCTGTTCCTGTTCCTAACACCCTGACATAATGTCCACTCCCCTGCCTCGTTCAGTCTCTCTCACTGTGAATTCAATCCACTTCTTGTTTCTGCAAAGTAGCATTTATGGAGGCCCCGTGTGTAGAAGACACTGGATACGAGGGCATGGGGACGTGGGAAAGAAAGTTAAAGTCCTGGAATTTACCATCAGGTGAGAGGGACAAACAGGACAAACAACAGAGCAACTGTGAACTTGGGCTAGATGGGGAGGGGCCGAGTGCTCTGGGAACACAGATGAAGGCGTCCTTAACAGGGAGGCTTCCCTGGGAAGGAAACTCAGGTATTGCTGCTGTCCTGGGGTGGGAGGAGCAGGGGCTTGGGGGAAAGGACAGCAAGGGTGCACCCCACCCAGGGAGGGTCCACTGTTACATGAGACGAACCACTTGCTGAGGAATTCTAGTGTAAGTGCATAGCCTAGTGCTTTCCAGTGCTTTCTTATAAGGTCACATTTCCTGGTCTCATGCTCCCTCCTGGCTGGCTCTTCCTCATCCCTTTCCAGTTTTCTATTGACTCCATTCATGAGGCTCAGACATGAAATCAGAGACACTATGCCCAGGGTGTGTGCAGAGACGGCAGGCTTCCTGGGCTTGGACCCGCCCTTGTGCTGAGGATAGGGCATCAAAGTCTGGAGGATGTGATGAGGGGTGGCCAGATCAGGAAGCTGGGAGTGGCAGGCTCCCTTGGGCGGGGCGGGGGGGGGGTGTTGGTGGCGGGGGCAGTGTGTATGCAAATACCCGAGTTCTAGACCTGGCTCTCTCTACAGCTAGCTACATGAGCCGTCTACACTGAGCTACACTGGGGTTCAGAGTCTTCAGCTCCACTGCTAACGTCAGGAATCAAAACCTGCATTTTAATAAGACACCCTGGTGACTCATATACACATTAAAATTGAGGAAACCTGCCTATAGACCTGCTTCTTGCCATTAGTCTGTGGTTAGGGAACTAATGGCAGTGACAATCGTCAGGGTCTGGCTGTTTAGGGGCCTCCTCTGGAACATGACAGAATTGCACTAGATGACCTTCGTGGTAGGGGGTATGAGGTCGTTCCTACACGCACCACCTGACCCTCCTTACACTAGGTTTGTTTTTCCAGGCACTATGTTTACATTTTTTTTTTTTTAGAATAAGGGGCCAGTATTTAAAAATTGGGAAATTTCACATAAATATCCAGACTGCAGGCTTTTATCAAAATATTGAACAATTTGGGAAACGGGCCACCTTCCACATGGCAATAATCAGTGTCCCCATACAAAGCACAGACAGAGCCCTCGCTCTAAGTGTTTCCCTACCGCTGGTGATAGGAGGATTACAAATCAAACACAGCTGCTGTTTCCCACCTGTCTCACTAGCAAAGATAAGAAAGTTTGATAACACACTGGGACAAGGGTGGAGGAAAATGGTCCCCTTGCATACCCGGGAAAGTAAGTCGGTACGATCTCTAAAATGGATAATCTCCTATCATCTATCACAATCACCTACCCTTTGACCAAGTAATACCAGTTCTCGAAGTGGGTCCACAGACACCTGCACACGTGGGAAACATAGTTCTAAGGCACATGTAGAAGGTTAGTCATTGTAGGGCTGTTTGTAATATGCATGGAACTATGGACTGAACTAACCTAATTGCCCACTGATAGGGGACTGGCTAGATGAATTATAGGACAGCCTTTTGATGAAATAATGAGGAACTCTGTATGTTCCAATATGGAAGGAGTGTCTCCAAAATATTTCCTGGAAAAAGGAGGGTGCAGAACAGCATGCGGGGTCCAAAGCCCTTTATGTGTTGGAGAGTATTTGCGAAAAGATGCTCAAGGAATGGAACACTGGCTGTCCCCGGGGATGGGACCTCAGAGACTGCTGTACAGGGGTGGGAGGGAGCCTTCTTACTACCTACATTTTAATATCTTTTGAACTTGAGTCATGTTGATGTGCTCCCTACTCAAAGCCCGAAAAACTAAAATCTTTCGGAGACAAGATTCTGTGACCTACATGATTCTAATGTTTTACAACCTGGTGGACCCAACTTCTTACACTTCTGGAAGGCTCATCCTTCATGAGGCCAAGGCCTCATAACCTGCAGGCGGGCGTTCTCCTGGGTCTCCAGCCCTGCCCTGTCCCTGAGTCAGGCTACTCGCTCCCGTGAGCTGAGCAGCCCTGCAGGAGGTCTCCCTAGCCAACGAGGTACAGATGCATGAACTTTGGCATGTCCTAGCGAAGCATCCCTTGGGCCCTTCCTTCCCTCCTTCACCTTCTCTGTCCTCCTAGGGGAGCGTTCTCAGTGGTGCGCAGGTGCGTGAAGGTGCTGGCTGGCCAGGAGTATGCTGCTAAGATCATCAACACCAAGAAGCTCTCGGCCAGAGGTAGGTGGCAGATCCGTGCTTTGCTCACCCTCTGGGGCTCTTCTCCCCTCTATGCTTTGGGTTAGAAGCAGGACCTGGGTCTGACCCCCTGGGTGATGCTGCAGGGGGAGTCTTCTTCCTGTGGGTATTATGAGAACAGACCCCTCCATTTTCCTTCCTCATGAGATCTAGAGGACACAGCCTCTCGGACAGGCCAGGCTCTCTGCCTCCTACCCAGGGTGCAGGCTAAGGTGCCAGGCGGGACTTCCTTTCCCTGCCCTTCTGCCACTTAATTCTTTTCTCATCTCCAGACCTGTGCACCCACCATTCCCTTATCTGGCTCCTTACAAGGCTGACCCTCTTTCAACCTTCAGGTCTCAACTCAATGTCACACCCTTTGAGGGACTTCCCAGACCCCTACATCTGAGGCCGTCTCCCCCATCTTATATCGGTTATTACTGTTTACCTTCTTTGTGGCTTTCCCCCAGTCTGCGCTTGTCCCATTTGCTGGCTCGGTCCCTTACTTAACATGCATCTTGGCTATAAGCTCCAGCGGGTGGGGACAGCTCTCATTCCCTGCTACACCCAGTACCTAGGACAGCACCCAGCACATCCTAGCGCTCTACCAGTGTCCAGTGAACTCTAGGGGCATCCCGCTTCAGCCACACTGGTCCACCCTCTCATCCCTAACTAGTCCCTAGAACAGGGGCTCCCCAGCCTGTCCTCACTCTGGAACCCCTAGAGAGCTTTAAGATCTCTTGATGCTTTCCTCCCCACCAAGGGGTTGTAACTTCATCCGTGTGGGGTGTGACCAGAATTTGAAAAAAAAAAAAAAAATCCCCAGGTAATTCTGGTTTGGAAGTGGTCCTAGACCAGCAGAGTCAGCATTACCAGGAGATCGCTAGAAATGCACATTCTGTTTCCAGGCTTAAGGAATCAGGATCTGCATTTTAGCAAGATACCCCGGTGGTCCATGTGGATACTGGAACTTGGAAAGCCTGCCCAGGAGCCTGGCTTCTTGCCGTTAGCGTGTGGTTAGAGCAGTAATGGTAGCATCCATGGTCAGTGTGTCGGGGAAGGTTATGTTCAAAAATCTAGTGCCTGCTCTGAATGGTGTCTAAGCTGCCTTGGGGACCCCTGGTGGTGGAGAGGGTCCTGCCGGGTGCGGCAGGTACAGGTGCAGCACAGGAGACATCATCTGAGGAGCTGGCGTCATGGCCAGGTGTTGATCTGGCATAGTGGCATCTGTGTGGGGGCTGGTGCCCAGCAGGTGTGGGGTTCACAAAGTCTGGTACAGGATGTTCACATGGCCCCCTGCAGGCCTCCCAGCAGGCCCCATGTTGGACCGTGCATTGCTGTCTTTCATCTCTCTGGCTCAGTGCTGCTGGGAGCCCAGCACTTTCTCCTAGTTACTGAACTCCCCGTGGGCAGCCAGTGTCCTGTGGGGAGAAGAGGCTGGGTGTGTGGAGGGTGGTTCTCTAAGGGTCGGGGGCCGAGATGGCACAAATTCGGTATGGAAGCTGGTGTGGACGGACGACACCCGTGGAAAGTCTGGAGCTGGAGCCAGGGGCAGGGAGCCAGGGTGGGTAGGGCGGCTGTGGGAGCGTGGCCTCACGTCCAGATGCTGGGACCTGCCTGGCTTCCTGTGGTGTGAGTGGCAGTCTGGCGCCCTCTGTGTGCTTTGGGTCTCTCGTGATCAAAGGAGATGTTCCAATCCCTGAGATACAGGGCGGAGGTGGGGCAGGGGCAAGATTAGCGCCATGGTTTGGGGCGACTGGTTGATGTTACTACAAAGTGAGGGAGGGTCAGGTTTCAAGGTCCTCCCTGGGCACTGGACCTCTTAAGCCACTTCACAGTATTCTCAGAGCGACACCTCTCCCTGCCTCCTGGTTCTCAGTCTCTCTCTCTCTGTCTCTCTCTCTCTCTCTCTCTCACACACACACACACACACACACACACACACACACTCTGACAGGAAGAGACATGTGTATGGGAGGCAGTGGAAGGGGCACTGTCCCTTTTCTGGAAGGTGACTAAGCATTCCTTGGGCAGTGGGGACTCTGGGCAGCGCCAAGGGGAAATCAGCAAGTCCCCTGTCTTTGGCCATTTGTTGAGACTTTGACATCCTTACAGGAAGGCAGCCCAGGCCTAGCTGAGTGTGGAGGGTGCGAGAGGGGAGGTTCTCAGGGGAACCATCTCAAAGAAGTCTGCCAACTGCAAGGCTTCTCTCCCCAGCGGGAGAGGAGGAGTGGAGCTGCTTCTAGCAGGTTCCTTTGTTTGCCACTCATGGTGCCTGGAGAAGGGAGAAGTTTGATGCTGAAGATTTGGCAACATACCCTAAGCTTCCCCTGCTGGCACTCCTGGGGACTTTGGCAGCTCTCTGCAGGGGGGCCTGGCCCACCCGGGGTGTCCGTCCCTCCCCTCACCCCAGGGAGTTTTGGCTTCCCCTTCCCCACCCGGGTCAGCCCCTTATTCTGTTGAATGGCTCCCCAACCCAGGAGATTATTTTTTTTATATGTATTTTAAAAATACTCTTTTAGATAAAATGCTCATAGTGTAAACAATTTCAAGAAGTCTTAAGGACATGGAATGGAAAGTGAAAATTTTGCCTGTCTCAGGCCCTGCCAGATCCCCTCAGGAGCCTTTCAAAAAAAGTGGCTGCTTTAGTTCCATCCTGGAGGGCTGGAGTCAGTAGGTGAGGCCCGAGCTCCTGCAATGAAAAAAACCCCGTCCGCAGCGACCATAGCTTGCTCGCTCAATGATAACTCGCTGTCGGGGGCTCCGTAGGCTTCCCAGCCACAGTCTTAGCCAGCGCAGAGAAGAAACTCCTTAATATGTTAGGGGCGCCGGGCACACGGATGTGGCTGGTACAGCCAGAAGTGACTGCAGGGTGCAGAGACCGCTATAGTAACCCTTAGCCATTTGAGCGCTGAGGGATCGCCTCCTTGGCTCCTGGGCAACCAGTCCCAGGACATGGGGTGATAAGCGTGGCATGGGCTCATTCATGCTGCCCCTCAGCTTCAGGTTCATGCTCTAAGGATCCGAAGACAGATCCTTCTCGTCTTCCTCAGTTTACTCCCCACCCCTGCCTGGCAATCTTGGCCCTTGGGATTATTCTTCCAACCTCCCAGGAGCAGAAGCCTGGTTGAGGCCCTCTAGAGGGTGGGAGCATTTCCTCTTCCAAGACTTGGAGGTCTATTTTTTTCCCCCCTGGTTTCTGTTCCTCTGGCCAGAGTCCTACCTGCCCGCTGGAGCCCCCCTCCCCCACCTCACTCTGCAGGTAGAGCCTTCCAGGCTGCCTGATTGTACTTCCCCCAATGCTCTGCCCTGCTGGCACTATCTGGCCCCAGGAACTTCACCTTGAACCTTACTTTCACTTACCCTTGCCTGCTAAGTTCTTAGGCAGGGCAGGGCCCCTTAGCCCCAACACCCTGGAGGCCTGCCCCTAGGGAGGGAGGGAGAAGGTTCACAAGGTATCATGGTGAACATTAGGGACAATCCTTCCAGGTACTTGGGCAGGAGGAGTCCCTCAGGCCTTTCACCATTGGGAGGCTGTTATCTATCTAGCTGAATGGATTGATTTGTCAATTAATTAATTATGAGAATGGGAGGCAATATGGTACAGTAATTTTGAACATGGATTGAAATTCCAGTTCTGCCATCTCTTAGCTAGGAGACCTTGGACACGCTGCTTAGTGGCTCTGGGCCCTGGGGCATGGCTGTGACTGACAGATAACGTCTTGCTCTCATCGCACCTATTCTCTAGGGAGGAAGACTGTAAAGAATATTAAACATATAAACAAGCGAGGTAATTTTAGGTAACAACGAGTTATCAAGAAAATGAGACCGGGTAGTGGGGAAGTGATGGGGCAGGAGAGACCCTCGGAAAAGGCAGCCGGGGGAGCTCTTTGAAGAGGTGATATTGTGCTGGACCAGCCTGAGGAGAAGGAGGCAGCCATGAGAAGACCCAGGGGAAAAGCATCCTAGGCAAAATGTCCAGCAAGTGCAAAGGTCCTGAGGTGGGAAGGGGCTTAGTGTGCCTGAGGCCAGAAAGGTGGCCACTGTGGCTGAAGTTCCAAGGCCAAGATGAGGCAGGACCAGCGGGGTCTGCCTGGCCATGGTGAGGAGTTTGGGTTACAAGTACAATGGGGAGTCTGAAGGGTTGTTGGAGAGTTTGAAGCCAGAGAGAGATAGAATCTAATTCATATTTTAATAAGAGGTCCTTGGCTACCAAAGACTATTGGCTGGAGTGCGGAAAGCATCCAGGAGTGGTTCCTCAGAGCTGTGGGTTCTAAAGAGGCTTGACCACCTTATTGAGTGACTTTGATAACGGGACTGCTCCTTATCACTGGACCTCAGTTTCCTTACCTACAGAACGGGGCAAGGCCTCAGAGGTCAAAAGAAACGCCGTCCCTACTTCCTTTGAGGAATGTTAGAAAATAGAAACATGTCAGAGATACAAAAACTGGTGAATAATATATATGTTTACATAAATTCAACAAATTCATGCTAAAAGCCCAGAGAGTGGCAATGTGGCGTGATTGGACAATGCACAAGATGATTGCCAGGTTCATAGAAACAGTTCCTGACATTTCTGGCAGTGAGGGCTGGCCATCAGGCCCCAGTGTGAGGCTGTGTGACCTGCGTGTCCTTTCAGTGCCACTCCTGGGTAACATGATGTGGTGGTGAAACATCAGAATTCTGCGCTTGGGTCCCTCATCCCCTAAATGTACAGGCTGTACCAACCTTGTTCCCTGAACCTATAGCCCCCAGCCCCCTCTGATAGGCCCCACTTGACTGCCCTGGTTTCCGGTTCTGCTGGGGATGGGTGGGGTAGGGGAGAGGGTTGTAGGGCTGGTGGGGGGGAGGGTGTCCAGCCGTCCTCAGTCCACTGAGGGCCCTCAGCAGCTCGGGAGGGAGAGGCCCCTCCTTTGTGCGGAATCGGTCTCCTACCATCCTGGAGGCTGGGGAAGGAAGCTGGGTGGGGGGGCAGCGGGAGGGAGGGGGGACCAGGGGGAGGTTGCCTCCCCCAGTGTAGGCAGCCTCCCTTCCCCTAGCCTATAGTCCACCTCCAGCTGGGGAGTTGAGCTTAGGCTCAATGGAGACAGGCGTGGACTTAATTGCTTTGCTGATGAAAAAGCCGCATTTCAGTATTACTCTTGATCTGTGCAGCCCATGGAGGGAGGGCAGGGGTTGCTCTAATGAAGGGACAAGGGAAAGGGGAGCTGCCTGCCTGGGGACAAGGGCTGGGACTTTCTCCGTCCTTACTGCCTTCCTTGGAGGCTGCGTGCTCTGAAGGGGCCAGTCAGAGACTGGAGTTTGAATCCGGGCTCTGCCTCTGAGTGTCTGCGTGGGGTCCCTCCTAGGCACCCTGATTTTCCCATTCAGAAATTGGGGGCTGGTGGAGGTGGGGGGCGATGAGTCAGGGTGCAGAGAGTGCTACAGCACAGTAAAGCTCACGCCTGGAGTCTGACTGCCTGGGTACAGTGTGTGGCTCTGCTGATCACCACGGATCAGGTGAGGCTGTGAGCCTGGTACTCAGTTTCTAGGAACCTCTGTTTCCTCCTCTGTAAGGTCGGAGCATGAAGGGTTGTTGTGAGGACTTGAGATGGGGTCGAGGTGCTCTGCACGGTGCCTGGCACGTAGTAAATATTCTACTCGTTCCCTTTGTGTTCTGGTTCTTTAAATTAAGGCGTTAACTATGGAATTGTGAGAAAAGCACCAGAAAGGAAATTGAGAAGTGCCTAAAATGGGGACAGTGATGCCCACAGAGCAGGATGGTTGGGAGGACGGAAGAGAGTCACGGGTAGGATTGTTCCCAGCAGCCCCAGGGCGGGAGACCACGGGACAGATTCTGAACAAGTCCTCCTCCCCGGGGGTCTGGACAGAAATCCTGGAGAGCAGGGGTGAGAGATCCAGGTAAAGCCCAGAGGCTGCCATATTCGGGCTCTACCCTGCAGATTCTCTGGGGTGTCCCTGGCCCGGAGTCCCCTGGAAGGGAGGCGGCCTCTGTGAATTAATACAGCTCTTCTGCTGCAGAGAAATATACACTCCCCTAGAAAGTTGATCAGTCCATGGTTTATTCTATAATTCAATGACTTCTTGAGCACCTACTATGTGCCAGGCATTTGAGTAGATGCCAGGGGTACAACAGGGACCAAGCACTTGCCTTTAAGGGTAAAGGTCCCCGTGAGCTAAAGTGAGATGTGTTGTCCTGAGGCCCTGAGAACACAGAGGAGGGCCCCCTCCTATTCTGGAAGGACAGGCTGCCGGGAGAGGGCATATCGAAGGACAGGTGGGCATGAAGGAGTGATGGCCAGTGAAGGACAGTGGGAGGTTGAGAGGGAAAAGTTCCAAGCTGAGAGAACCACATGGGTAAAAGCCCCCAAGCCTGAGCGCAAGGACTAAGCAGGGGGGCTCAGGAGAAATGCCATTTAGCAGTTCAGTCTGGCTGGAGTGCCCTGCCAGGAGGTGGCAAGCCTGGAGACGGGGAAGCAGGAGCCTACCCTGGGGTGGGGTAGGGGGTGTTCCAGGCTCAGCAGATGGGACTTGGAGATGCACCTCATTTGAGAACCCTAGAAACAAAGGCCCAGAGAGAAGAAGGGACTTCCAAGGCCCTGCAACCCCTCCCCCCATCCCCCCTTCTCTGCTGCCTCCCACCGCCTTCCTGGAGAACCCAGAGGCTCTGCCAGAAATGCAAGCTTATCCAGACGGGGGGGGGGGGGGGGGGGGGGGGGGGGGGTAGTGTGTGTGGTGGGGTGGAAGGGGCTGCCTTGGGGGCGCAGACCATAAGAGGCCATGAAGAGGCGGAGACAGTAGGTGAGGTTTCCTCCCTCACCTGGGACTCAGCTGGGTGTCTGTGTTTCAGATCATCAGAAGCTGGAGCGCGAAGCCCGCATCTGCCGCCTGCTGAAGCACCCCAACATCGGTGAGCTGGCGGGGGTATGTGTGAGGGGGGTGGGTGGAGCCTGGCCCCGTGCCCAGGCCAAGCCAGTGGGTCTTCCGGGCAGGGAGGGCAGCTTTTCTCTTCCCTGTGGATGGTGGCAGTAGGGATGGGAAAGGGGGTGCCTTTAATGGTCTCCACATTTCTCAGAGACCAGCTTGGTTGGGGGGAAGGTGAAGAAGGGGCCCTCCCTCCTAGCCCACGCTGCCGGCAGCCTCCTTCAGAAAAGCTGTTTCAGGAAAACTCCCGAAGCTCCGAAGCTCCGGGAGAGACCAAAAATAGGCCAGGCGTGGCCTTGACCATAACGGCCCACTCCCCAAACCTACCCCAAGCTGAGTCAGCCTGGCACTGTGGCCTGCCCACCTACCTAGACCAGCAGCCTGCCTGCCCCAGAGGCAAGCTCCAAGGTCCTGCCCCAGGGGCAGACTGAACACAGACTGCAGGGGAGAGGCTGGGCCTAGACCACGCTTCACGGCCTGATCTCCCCTCCTCCCCCATGCAGGACTGGGGGTCTGCATCCCTGCCCATCAGTGTTCTGAGTTGGGGTGGTGTGGCCAGGGGGTTGGGGAGGGGAGGAAGAGCAGATTCTAGATATAGTCCTGTCAAGGAATGGCTGTGTGACCTTGGGTGGGAGCCCTGTCCTCTCTGAGCCATTTCTCCCAATCTCCACAAGGAGATACTCTCTGCATCCCGTGGGCTTCCTGTTTAAAGGTGGATTCTGGTTCAGTGGCTTTGGGTGGGGCCCGGGATTCTGCATTTCTGGCACGCTCCAAGGCAATGCCAAGGCTGCTGCGTCAGACCACACTTTGAGGAACAAGGCCTAGGTGCTCTCTAAGGAATATTCCCACTCGGGCAGCCACCACGCCTTTGCCCTTGGGAAGGAAGCATAGCTCAGTGCCCAGAGCCCCAAGGGTTAACCCTCCTGCCAGAGAGAAGCGTCTCAGTCTGCTATTTATACCCCAAAGGCACCTCCCCTTCCCCGTGCCCAAGGAAGGGGAGCAGAACTGCGCAAACAGCAGCCAGAGGCTCCAGGACCAGAATGAGAGGAGGGGCAGCAAGGCGGCAGGTGGGGGGCAGGCCTGCTTGTACCCCGATCCTGACCACCGGCTGACGGACTCACTGTGTGGCCTCAGGCAGCTCCTGCCCTACTCAGGGCGTCCACCTGCCCAGCAGTATGACGGACGGGTTGAGAGGGAGCTCTGACTCCGAAGTCCCATGGTTCTTAGAAAGGCAATCAGCGCCAGGGGAAGGAGGCGGGGAGTGTGTGTGTGTGTGTGTGTGTGTGTTGCTGCACACTACAACTGTCTCGGGTCAACCCTGCCTCCTCCTCCCTCTCAGCCTCCCCCCTCCTCGCCCCACTGTACATGGGGAGCAGTACCTTATGGGCTCTGGGGCTGACAGTCTGCAGCTCCGATCCTCTGCTTGGTGGCTGTGTGACCCTGGACCCATTGCTGAACCGCTCTGAAGCTCGGTTTTCTCATCTGGGAAATGGCAATGATAGCCACCTCGTAGAGTTGTGATGATTAATTAAAGCATAGCCCCACGACAGTCCCGAGGTAGGGGCTGCTCCCCCTTGTCCTCAGTCTACACCTTCGCACAAGACAACCTCTCCCGAAACCGTAACCTCCGTGCAATTCTCACTCTTCTGAGGCGTCATGATGTTTGGTCACCAGATCAGGGCGCTGTGTTTAACGTGCTAGTTAAGAGAATGCGGTTTGCTCCCGGGGTCCAATCCCAGCTCTGCTGCTTGCTAGGTGTTGAGGCGCACAGGTTCGTGAGGGCAAGCACAGTAGCCGTCTTTTACAATTGCTGGGCAGGTTAAGTGAGAAATTGCAAGGAAAGCACTTAGCACAAGTCTGGCCTGTGGCAAAGTCTCAGAAATGGTGCTTCACCATCATCATCATCACTGAGGCCTTTTCTCCTTCCTTCCTCCCCTCCCCTCCCCTTCCCTCCCCCTCCTTCTCCCCTCTTCCTTCTTTCCTTCTTTCCTTCACCTGACGGCAAGGGTATCTGGGACCCAACCATGTGCCAAGGATGAGGATGCGCTGCAGGAGTGAGGATGACATTGGGATGGGGTAGCTAACGCACAGAGACGTGGAGAGCAGAGCTGAGCCCCAGATCAGGAGGATTTGGGGAAGAACCCCAAAACTATCTCAGGGATGGAAAGGCCCTGCTTCCTAAACCTCCAAGCATCTCACTTCTATGTAGATTATAATCTCCCAGAAGAAGTGGAGACAGGTGCAGCTGTGGCTGCAGAACCCCAGAGGCAAGCCTGTGGCTGGAGGAGCTGGACTGAGCCCTAGTCAGCCTGCTGGGTGACTCTAGCCATGCTTACTGGCTGCTGTCCACGTGGGGCTGGTGCCCAGCCCTGGGGGGGACCGAGTCAGGGAGGCCCTGGCTCAGCACAGGGGGTCCAGCTGTGCTGCGCACACGGGACAGGAACAATACCCCACACTGTACCATCACCACCTGCTGATGGGGCCGACACTGAGGCCACCCCGGGGAGCAGGGGACACCCTGAGAGTTTAGCAGGGGATTTGGGGGTAGGCAAGAGGAGTGAAGCTGGTCGGTGAGGTAGACGACAGTGTCCTCATTTGTCAAGTTCTCCCGGTGCCGGGCCCTGAGTTGAGGGCTTTACAAGCATCATCAATTATCCCCCCCGCAGCAGGCCAGTGGTGTTAGCACTATGGGTAAGAAAGGAAGCTCAGAGAGGTTACCTAATTTGCCCAAAGTTACACAGCTTACAGGAAGCAGAGCTGGGAGGTGAGCCCAGCAAGACTGACTCCAGAGCCCAGATTCTCACCATTCCATCGAACCTCCCAAGGGGACACCAGGAAGTGTGCGTCAGAGGGCAGAGGCTAGGGCAGCAAGCATTGCCCTTCAATTTCCAAGAAAAAAAACCATCCCTGTTGGAAATATGAAAAGAATGTCAGAAATTCGTGAGTCCAGCTATATAAATGAAAACTAGGTTACAGATTTGTTGGATCTATGGAAATATTTTAAAAAGTCAAAAGCTGGCAACATAGCTCAGTGACCACAGACATGTCAATCTCTACCACGTGGTGAGACCCTTTCATACCCCGTGGTGGCGCTTGAATCTTCCTTTTCCTCTTTGGCTTTGGACTGTTCTTTCTCAGGGCAGCCTTCCCTGATGGGAGGGGAGGTTTTATGTGTCCTGTCTCCTGGGTTCTGAGTTGTGCTGGTGCCCCCTCTCAGGGACGAAAGCCTATCCCAGGGCCCTTATGCAGGTGGCGGCTGGAATCCAGCCTGTGTTCCCCTTGCTGGCTGCTTAGACGGGCAGCCTTCTTTTCCTTTTTTATAAAGATTTATTTATTTATTTGAGAGAGAGAGATCACAGGCAGGGGGAAGGGGTAGAGGGAGAGGGAGAAGCAGGCTCCCTGCTAAGCAGGGAGCATGATGTGGGACTAGATCCCAGGACCCTGGGATCACGACCGGAGCCAAAAGCAGATGCTTAACCAACTGAGGCACCCAGGCACCCGGAAAGGGTTTTGTTTTTGTTTTTGTTTTTGTTTTTGTTTTTAACTTTATCTGGCTACACTAATAATGCAAGTTTATGGTAGATCAATGAGAAGACAATTTTTAAAGTATATTCTATAGCCTTGGGACATAGAGGTTATACTGTACGATACATGTTTTCATATGATATGTGATGTTTGTACCTTCTCGGGTGTTTCTATACGTGTGGTGCTCCCAAGGTGCCTGGTCGGTTCAGTCCTGGTGGAGTATGACTCTGGGTCTCAGGGCTGTGAGTTCTAGCCCTGCATTCAGTGCAGAGATTACTTAAATAAATAAATCTTTAAAAATATTTGTGTTCCTGTTCTCCTCCATCTCTAGCCACATTTTCCCCTGCCCCCATAGTAGATGCCTACTCTGATGTATTTGACACCTGCTTCTCCAAACTTTATGTGCAGATAAGAGAGCCATAAGCCATTGGGGGGACTCAATACTGAGTCAGAAACATATGCATATGGCCAGAATTCGGATGGCACTAGGACCGCAGATAAAGCAGATAGTCTCACCCACCCACCACTCCTGCCCTCCCGATTCCCCTCCCCAAGTTCCCCCAATGCCCACTTTTTTGTATCCTTCCAAAGACACTTATGCCACAAACAGGCCTAAATACATCTTTTTAAGTACCACACACACTGTTTTGTACTTTGCTTTTTTGCCAAACAACATAATTCAGAGATGATTCGGAACCAGGGGAAACGTAACTGCTGTATTATCTTAACAGCTGTGTGATCTTCCGTTGGGCGACGTATCCTGATTCTCTGAGCATGCACCCCGCTCTGTGGACGTTTTTAGGCTGTGGCTCAGGGAAAGGATGTGAATCTGTCCTGGGAGAAAATGCAGTTGGCTGGCAGGGTACAGCCCCTGAGTCAGCTCTGGGCCTCGGGTCCTTCCCTCCAGAATCTCAGGGGGTAATTTTGGGAGCTCTGGGCTCCTGGGAGTCTTGCCCCTGTTCTTGGTAAGTGAGGTGTGAAGAGATGACAGTTTCTCAGCAGGCCTAACCCAGGGACCCCGGTCCTCCCACCAACACCGGCTCTCTTATTTCTCATCTGGTTGCCCGGCATGGATCTTCCCCAGGGTTGGCCCTGGGCGAACACCACCTGTGTGCCTCATGGAGTTCTCACAACAAGGCTGCAGGTCCAGGAGTTTCATTCTCATTGTCCAGGCAAGAAAAAAGAGGCTCAGAAAGGTGGAGCAACTTGCGTGGGGTCACACAGCTAGCAAGTGGCAGAGATCTGAGCAATTTCCGTGATGCCAGACTGCCCAGCCAGGAAGCTAAGGGTTGGAGGAAGGAAGAGGCCAGACTTTGACCAAAGCGGGGAGGGGCCTTTCATCTTTAAACCTGGGCTTCTTTTGACGATGCCCGAGGTCAGTCACCATCGTTCACTGGCATTTGTCAAGGCACCTGTTACCTGGCTTGTGCTCAGTGACTGAGAAGTTGGTATGTTGGCCATCGGAGGGGTGAGGTGAGAGGGCGGGAGGAGGTGGAAGCAGTGCTTCCGGGTTAACTGGCTGCTTGGGCCCCTCCCACAGTCCGGCTCCACGACAGCATCTCCGAGGAGGGACACCATTACCTGATCTTCGACCTGTGAGTCTGGGCCCACCCCGGGTCATGCAGGGGCTCAAGGGGCAGCCTGAGCAGGGAAGACCTAGGTGGGTCCCTTGGCCTGAGTCCCAAATGCCGGCAGGCTGGGCTGAATTCCCTTTTGAGACGGAAGTTTCCCGAACATGATAGGCCTGCCACCCAGACAAGGTGGGTGGGTCATCCTGAAACGCCAACGCACACTTGTTACTTCTGCTGTCTTACTGCTTTGTTTCTATTTGTGGCCAGCGGTGCTGGCTTCCCATGTCCAGTGGCAATATAAAGTTTCCTTTTGGAGTAATTTTCAAGTTTTGAAAGCCACTCAATCGAATGACAAACAATAATGAAATGATAGGTTCTCGGGTTGGCAGAGAAACTCAGCAAAGACACTGGCCCCATCTGCCGAAAACAGTTAATCATGGGGAAGGCTCTGCATGTGTGGGTACAGGAGAGCTCTCTGTGCCTTCAGCTCAGTTTTGCTGTGTGCCTCACGTTACTCTAAAAACTAAAGTTTATGAAACAAACAACAACAACAACAAAAACCCCAGCCCCTGGGCTTCCTGATGAACCTGAGTGATACCCTCTGAGTGTCCCACCCCCTGACCTAACTCCAGTGTGGACCCAGCGGGAGAGAAGGGCAAGTGGGGGAGGGGAGGGCAGTCCGTGGAAGGGTGGGATGGGAGCCAGGAAGAGGGCTGCAGCGGGAGGCACCCCGGGGCCCCAGGGATTCCTCCCTTTGGACTGAGATTCTGAGGTCCCTGGGTCACGCCCTTAGCTTCCCAGAGACTCTTCCAGAAGAGGCAACCCCAGAGGCCTTCGTGGGAGGGTGACTCTGTGCCTGTCTCCCCAGGGTTACCGGTGGGGAACTGTTTGAGGACATCGTGGCCCGGGAGTATTACAGTGAGGCGGATGCTAGGTGAGCACCAGGTGCCTGGGGGCAGGGCGTCTCCCCCACCAGCTTCCCAGCTCCCCAGGGGATGTCCGCCTTCACAGGGGGACCCTGTCCTCTCTCTCCGCAGTCACTGTATCCAGCAGATCCTGGAGGCCGTTCTCCACTGCCATCAGATGGGTGTGGTGCACCGGGACCTGAAGGTGAGTGACACACCCAAGGGGGCTCCCCTGCAAAGCCGAGGGGATCATCAGAATCCCTTCAATTGCCCTGAGTTGGGCTGGGCCGGGGAGTACCTACCCCATGGTTCCGATGAGGAAACAGGGTGCAGGGAGGAGTAGCCAAGCTTCGGATCCAGTCTCCTGATGCCCAGGCCCATGTGCTCCGGGCCAGACCAGGTAAGCTGTTGTAAGGTCGCCCCAGGCTGGCTCTGGTGGGGTCCAGGTCCCAGCCAGGCCACTCTCCAGCCACAGGGCCTCAGCTGCCTTGCGGTGGGGTTGCCATGGCAACCTCTGCTGGGGGTTGCTGGTTCTGTCAAAGGAGACAGCACAGTACCCAGTGCGCAGGGACACCGAGTTCTTGTTTCTGGATCCCTGGCAGGTACAGGGAGAAGAAGCACAGGCCTTGGGGCCCCCAGAGTCCTTCCTCTTCCCACTGAAGGAGGAGAAAGGTCTGGGCAGATGTGCAATCTAGGGTGGGCAGTAGCCGCATAGCCTTGCCTGGTCGGCACAGACTCCTCGCTCCCCTCTGTCGAGCCTCAAGGTCCCCCGATTTTCAGAGCAGCAAACAGAGGCCTACAGAGTCTAAGGGACTTGCCCAAGACTCTGCCATTCAGTTGTGCCTGAGCTAGGATGGAGCCCTGGCCTTCTGACCCCAGACGCTGGGCCTGTGGGGGTCGGGGCCAAAAAGCCACTCAGCACAGCTCCTGCTCCTGCAGTGGTCCCTTCTAGGTGCCTGTGAACCTCTGCTGTTTGGCCTTCAGCGACTCTGAACTCACTTCTCTTTTTTTTTTTTTTAAAGATTTTATTATTTATTTGACAGAGAGAAATCACAAGTAGGCAGAGCAGCAGGCAGAGAGAGAAGAGGGGAAGCAGACTCCCCGCTGAGCAGAGAGCCCGATGTGGGGCTCGATCCCAGGACCCTGGAATCATGACCTGAGCTGAAGGCAGAGGCTGAACCCACTGAGCCACCCAGGCGCCTCTCTGAACTCACTTCTTGAGAGGCAGCCCCCTCGAACCACTGGGAAAGTCTCTTTTCATCTTTCCTACTCTGGCCTATGAGCCCCGGTGCTGCCCTTGGGGGCCACCCAGATCAGGCCTCCAGCTCAGGCCTGAGGTCCTTGGGCAGCTTCATGGTACCTCCTCCCTCTTGTGCAGGCTGTTCTCCCCCATCCCCACCCAGGACAGGACCCCCCAGGCCCTCCTCAGCCTGGACCCCCTCTCTGGACACTCTCCCTGGGCGTCCTCCACCAGGCCTGGGCCCCTCTCTGGGATCCAGCGTTCTGCCCAGAAGCCCTGCCCAGCCCCGACTCTCACAGCAGAGCTCCATGGGGCTCAGTCTGGACCCACAGGCAAGTGTGCAGTCCAGGAGGGTCCTGGCCGGATGGCAGGGCCGTTCTCCCAGAGGGCCTGTTCCTATTATAACAACAGCCCCTGCATGGGAGGAGAAAGGAGGAGAAGCAGCACAAATTTAGGCCACTCTGGATAGATTAATTAGTGGCATATTCATCAAATCAGGGCAGGACGGCTACCAAGACCCAGGACACGTTGGGAGCGCAGTCCCTGAAGGATAAAAGAGGGCTTCGTGAGGGGCAGAGGGAGCTATATTTGTTTGGGTCCCGCCTAGCTTTGGGCAGCGAAAGGTCAGAGGTGGGACCCCGTCAGAAGTCCCAGTGGGGAAGGGGGTCAGGGGAAACCGGCTGTCTCCGGGCACATGGAGCCCAGGCCCCTGCCCCAGCCCCAGCAGTGATTCTGAGTGCTAATGCTCACCGCTCATGTGCCGTGGGCCACTGCCAAGGGCTCTGCCCAGATTATCATGACTAATCTGTACGCCAGCCCATGAGGTGGGCTCTGTCCATTTTTCTGAGAGGAGACCAAAGCTCAGAGAAGTGAAATGGCTTGTCTAAGTTCCATAGCACAGAAATGTCGGAGCTGGGTCAGAGGCCAGGGCTACCCAACTGCAGAATTTATTTCAGCTCCTCTCTGGCCTGTGGGGGTGGGGGGAGAAATCCTGTTCTTTACTCCCAGTGGAAGACAGCAGTCTCGGGGCCCCAGAGGCCAGGCGGCATGTACGAGGGCCCCTGTCTCTCAGTCCTGCGTGGTTGAGAACGTGGCTCTTGAGCCAGACTTTGCCTCAATTCTAATTCTGTGCTTTATCAGCTGTGTGACCTGGGTCATGCCACTTAACTTCTCTGAGCCTCGGTTTCCTCATCTTTATACATATGACAAATATGTATGAAGTACCCACTACATGCTGCCCCCTGCCTTGGGTGTTGGCAATAGAGTGGTGGACAGACAGACAGGGAACTCACTGTCTGTAGAGGTGACAGATAATGAATAAGCACAGAGACAGATGGGGGGAAAATTACAAATTGTGATATCTATGAAGGTAACAAGGTGCTAAGACAGAAGATACCTGGGGGGTCCTCCTTTCGATAGCCATGGAGGGATTCTTTGAGGGGACGACATGAAGGTGAGAGCAGATGAAGAGAAGACACCAGCTCTGTGAAGCTCAGAGAAGGAGCAAATCAGGCAGGGGGAACAGGAAGTGCAAAGGCCCTGAGGTGGGACCAAGTGTGATTGTTTCAGGGAACATAGGAAGGCTGCTGTGGAAAAAGGGAATAATAATGCCCATCCCAAAGGTTGTTGAAGTGATAAGTGAGATGATATATGCAAACACTTAGATTGGTGGCTGGCACATAGTAGGGGCACAATAAATGTCACTCATTTTTCCTTATTGTGGTGGTAGCTGTTCCCCACAACTCCCTGACGCCATGTCAGCCTCAGCCCCAAACCCTGAGGAGAGGCAAAGGAGGGGATGGGTGGTGGAGAAAGGGTCTTCCTGTTGCCGAAGACAGAGGTCTTACCCTAGGGTAGTCCCCTCACTGGAGGCTGGAGCTCAGGGTCCTGTGGCTGGGATTGGAGGTGGGGGCAAGGCACCTCAAGATTGTCTAGCTACTCCTCCTGTGGGCTCAGGCCACCAGACGTGAGGTTCAGAATCTGCTCACTGTTCTCTGGCTCTTTCTTCCCCCATTTCACTCTTCTCTCTGGTCCTGGAAAGCCGGAGAATCTGTTGCTGGCCTCCAAGCTCAAGGGCGCCGCAGTGAAGCTGGCAGACTTTGGCCTGGCCATAGAAGTGGAAGGGGAGCAGCAGGCATGGTTCGGTGAGTGGGGACGGGGATGGCAGAGGTGTGGGGGGCCAGGCTTGTGTTGACACATTGGCCCCTAGAAGTCCCAGGCCCAAGCAGGGGCAGGTAAGAAATGGCTGGGGCACCAGCCAGAGCTCCCGGAGCAGAGGTCCCACTGCACAGCCTCTGGTCAGTGGGTGTGGCCCATCTTATCTCCACAGGGGTCAGGCTCAGGGACACGGTTATCCTTAAAACAGTACATGGCCTCTCCACATGCACATGCACCACCATGGCTGGCTGGGGGCTTCCGTGGGTTCCCCTAACGGCCTGGGTGCCAGAGCTAATTATCCTGATTTTACAAACGAACGGAGGCTAAGAAACTTGAAAGAGTTCACGGGAGACTAAAAGGGACAGAGCCAGGATTGAAACTCATATGACTCAGCAGACTCCGAGGTTTTGGCATAATTGAGTCCTTTCAGCTAGCTGGGGAAACTTCAGTAGGCACTACTGATCAGTGATTAAGAGACAGAGCTCCGGGTTCAAGTTCCAACTCTGCCACTTAGGAAGTGTGTGATCTTCGGCGAATCATTTCACCTTGCTGAGCCTTTGTTTCCTCATCTGTAAAATGAGGGTGATGATAACATGGACCTCAGGGCTGTGTGAAGAGTAAGTGAGACCAGGCATGAGCACACATACTCAATAAATAGTAACTGTTCTTATGATTCCTTGTTCAAGTACTTTGGGTGTCTGTTTATTTCAAACAATCCTCCCGACACTGCTGTTTGGTAGTAGAGGGAGGAATCCCTAATCTCTCATTTGACAGATGAGGGAACTAAGGCCTCGAAAGAAAAGAGACCCACCAGGGGACTTAGGGCAAAACCAGAGTTAGGGACCAGCCTCCTGCTAGGCCAGAACCAGCTCCTAGAAGGGTGGGGAGTAAGCGAGGGTTCAGCTCAGCCTTCAGCTGACGTGGCAAGGACATTTTGCCTAGAGTGCCACCAGCACTTGGTAATGGCTGCAGGAAGGCTGTTAGCAGTGTATGACGCTGAGCAGGACCCCATGGGAAGGACTCTGGGATTGACTGACGACTTCTGCCGTAGGCTTTGGAGTGGGGAGCGGGGGGCAACAGGTACCCTGTGCACCTGTCCACCCTGGTCTAGAGGCTTTGCTGCCTTGCTGGGCAAGAACTTCCTGCCCTTGAGCCACTCTTGGGATGGGAAGTGTGTCCGTTCTCTCCAGGGCAACCTCATCCCTCTTACGTGCCAACCTCTATGTGTGCGTCTGCGTGTCTGTGTGTCTGTGGAGCAGGGTTTGCAGGAACGCCAGGATACCTCTCCCCAGAAGTGCTGCGGAAGGACCCATATGGCAAGCCTGTGGACCTGTGGGCCTGTGGTGAGTCCATCCCAAAGCGCTCTCATCCCCCTGGGCTCCTGGCCCTCACGGGCCCTCTCCTTCCCTATCCCTGCCCTCTTCATCACTTCTCTTCACGCGCAGTGAGGCTTCTCCTGGTCCTCTCCCCAGGGGTCATCCTCTACATCCTGCTCGTTGGGTATCCTCCATTCTGGGATGAGGACCAGCACCGCCTCTACCAGCAGATCAAAGCTGGAGCCTATGATGTGAGTGTCCCTCCTCTCTCCAGCCTCCCTGCCATGCCCTGAGTCCCTTCCAGTGAAAGCCAGCATCCAGTGAGGTCAGAGATCTAAGCTGCCTCCTGTCCGCCCTCCCAACCTACTTAGGCCCTCTGCCACTCCCTAGTTGCAGGTGGTTGGAGCTTGAGGACTGACTACACGTGGCCCCAGCCTCATGGTTGGGCCTCAGCATGATGGCACTTAGCCTGGGGCCCTGGAGGGCAGGAGCAGCACCGAAGTGGGGTGAGAGGTGGAGAGTAGGTCCCAGAAGCCAGACTCTCACCCTCCCTCTCTCTCTCTCGCAAATAATAATGCACACATGAATAATAATATTAGCTAACACAACACTTTTCTAAATGCTTTATAGATTATTAGAGCTCATCTACATACCCATCTATGACATAGGTACGATTATTATGCCCATTTTACAGATAGGGAAGCTGAGGCACAGAGAAGTTAAATAACTGCCCTTACCACATAGCTAAGAAATGGTAGAGCTGGGATTTGAACCCAGGCAATTTGGCTCTAGCATCCATGTTTCTAACGACCAAGCTATACTGCTTTTCAATGAGGCTGATTCTATCAAGCCCTGTGGTATGCATTTTATATCATAGTTAATCTTCACAGCATCTCTAGGGGCAGCTGGAAGATCACCCAAAGTCTTGTCCAAAGTCACACAGCCCAGGAGGCAGAGCCAGGACTTAGACCCAGCCTTCCGATTCTGAAGTCTGGCCCATAACCCCTGGCCTCCTGCTCCCCAGATAAGGCACAGCCTCAGAAAAACAGAGGAAGGCCTCCTTTCCCCTTGGCCCCAGCTCTGATTTATCCGGGGAACCAAGGATCCTGCCCCTTCCTGGGTTCCAGAGAGGGTCCCTGCATGGAGGATCCCAGTGCCTCCTGGTTGTGGATGCCCAGTGGATGGGCAGTAGGACCCCTGCCTGCTCCCCTGCCAGTCAGGGGCTGGGGGATCGCAGGGGTGGCCTGGGGTAGGCTGGGCAAACCTGGCCCCTCTGCCCCTTCCAGTTCCCGTCACCAGAATGGGACACGGTCACCCCGGAAGCCAAGGATCTAATCAATAAGATGTTGACCATCAACCCATCCAAACGCATCACGGCCGCCGAGGCCCTCAAGCACCCCTGGATCTCGGTGAGCCCTCACCTGTGGGGTCCTTTCCGGGAGCCCCTCCCGGCATCAGGGTGCAGACCCCCATGGGGTTCTCGCCCTGTCCCCGGCCCCTCAGGCCGAGCGGAGGGTCAAGGGGGCTTCACCCAGAAATGCTGCCCTGCTGTGGCTCTCAGGGGAAGTGGAAGTGGGAGGCGTTCTGTGTCAGCATCACAACGGGGGGTGCTCCTGACAGGGATCTTGGGTGCCAGGGCTGCTAAGCACCTGCGGCATTTATAACGTCCTCTAGAACAAAGATTTGTGCTCCTCAAATGCCAAGCACCTCTCTGTAAGACACCCCACTGAAGGGGCTTTGGGCAGGCCTGCCTCCCACTCACAGACCTTTCCCCACTTCCTCCAGCATCGGTCCACTGTGGCCTCCTGCATGCACAGACAGGAGACCGTGGACTGCCTGAAGAAGTTCAACGCCAGGAGGAAACTGAAGGTAACACGTTCTTGCCCTCTATAGGCCCCGGACATGGAGTAGCTTGGTTGGGTCTCCGCAGAGGCCAAGAGATTCACTCACAAGTTCTTTCCTTCACTGAGTCAACAAACATGTCCTGAGCACCTACTGTCTGGGCTGGGGAATGAGTGGGTGGAAAGGACAGGCAAGGACCCTGGACCGTAAGGGGGTGTGGTGAGTGCTGGGATGGCGGGGCACTCCCGGAGGCCGGGGGTGACCATAGCAGGGCCATGAACTAGGTCTGGAAAGACCAGGGAAGCCTCCCAAGAAGCCCTGCTGGGCAGGTGGCTTATGAGCAGACACCGCAAAGGATAAGCAGGTGTTAGTCATGTAGTCAGAGTGGACGGACGTTCCAGACAGAGAGAAAGCGCGTGCCAAAGTCTGGAAGCATGAGCTTGAGCCTGTAGGGGGACTGTAAGCGTTTCAGCGTGGCTGGCGAGAGGGTCTGGGGGGTGAGATGGAACTGGGTAGGAGACCAGGGTGGGTGAGAGGCCCTGGTGCAGAACACTGGAGAGGACAAGCCAAGAGACACGGACAGGGGTCACAGCCCAGAGGAAGCCACAGTGGGACCCAGGTGGGCCAGGAGCTGCCAGCCTCGTGAGCAAGTGGCGTGTGCTCTTAACCTGTGATAGCTCCTGGCCTGGACCTCGCCAGGGACCCCATGAACAGGTAGGAAGAGTAACTGAGGAGTCCCCAGCCTGCTGGAACAGAGAAGCCATCAGAACACTGAGTGACAGATGCTGAGGGCCCAGCGCCTTCGGAAACTCCTCACCAGCTGTTCCCAGGCCTGATGTGATGGCCCAGGAAGGGGGCTTGGGCCAGGTGGGTGGTGGCCAGCATGACGCCAGAAGAACTAAGTCCCATCCCACCCCCCCCAATGGGAGTGGTCACAGAGGAAATCTCAAAATGTCTTAAAATCATGGACAGTCAGACTCGGAGAGTGTCCAAAACAGATAGCATCAGAAGCAGGAGGGCCATCCCCTAGGCCCTTCACTGGGACAGGAGCATTTCTCTATGTCCCCCAGGCTGTGAGCGGGGAGCCCCGGGAAAGATGAGCTAGTGATGAAACAAGGTACTGAGCACCATGACGGAGGGTGAAGGGGGCCCAGGAGGGCAGGGGCTATAGTCTTTGGCCTTTAGGAGTCCCCACCAACAGGTGTCTCTGAGCCCTTCCACCACCTCTGGCCAGGACAGCGGAACCTATTAATATCTTCTGCAGGGATGGCCCTGTTCTAGGAGCTGTGCCAGCTAAGGCCCAGCTCACTCCGACTTCCCCAGGGAGGCAGAGATGGTCTCTGGGCTGTGGGGTGAGGGCAAAGGGAAGGGCAGGGCAGAAGGCTCTGGTTCTGTGTCTGAAGGCAGCACCTGCCTCCCCTCCCCTGCTCGTCCCATTTCTCTCTCTCCTCTCCCCCCTCACCTCCAACCTCCTGTCCCCTCCCCCGCTCCTTATCTTTGCAGGGAGCCATCCTCACCACCATGCTGGCCACCAGGAACTTCTCTGGTAGGTGGTGGGACCTCGAAGTCCCGAATATATCCTACACAGGTCTGTTGAGAGCATTGCCCTGTCAATATCTGTGGGGCCTCAGGCCAGGGGCCTGGAGAGAATGAGGGCTACAGAGGACACTAAGACTGGGGGTTCAGGTCGCCTGCACCCAGAAAGGACTGAAGCTGATAGGTCAGCAAGCCAAAGGCCTACAAGAAAGGGTTAGAGGTTGAGTCTGGCTCCCTAACCTCGCAGCAGGGCTGGGGTTCTCAGGTTGGGCCAGCCCGAGGGGGTCCTCCCGAATATTAGGGTGTAGGTTCAGGCAGGACAGAAGCAGGCCCAGGGAGTAGCAATATTCCCATTTCCCACCAGTACCGAGCCCGTGCTAAGCAGTCCCCAAGCTTTTGCTCAGGTGGCCTTGGTGACAATGCAGTGGGGGCCCACGGCTAGGCAGAGAGAGGCAGGGCCTGCTTTCATTCAGCTTTGAACCACCTCAGAGCAAGTGCCCTTAATCAAGACGGGCCGCCAGAGAGCCTGGGTAGCAGCCTTCGGCCTGGGCCGCAGCCGGCTGGTTAAGGCAGGGAGTACCCAGCGACCCACAGGCCACAGTGCAGAGCCTCACAGAGAAAAGGAAGGGATTAGTGTCAGGGCTTAGCAAGAAGCTCCCCTTGGCACACTGGAGAGCGCCCAGGCCAGTGCCTGCCAGAGGCTTCTCTCTGGGGAGACAGGACCGCTGACGGGGCTGCTGAGCAGATATAGCAAAGCTCACCCGAGGGGCCCTCTGATGGGCCAGGCAGGACACGTGGCCGGCTCCACAGCAAGGTGTCGGCTCGGGCAAGTTCTGGTTCTGACTTTGCGGAGGGTCCACATGCCCATTTAACCAGCTGGACGAAGACCCAGAGGTGGGAAAACTCGGGAAATTCCGATGCGGGCTGGCCCCGCCACACTGAATCGCCTTCCCACTGTCTCCCCAGACTAGGGTCCTGTACTTCCTTAAACTGAAAGACGAGCCACTGGACAGTCAGTCTTTTTTTAACCTCTGAAGCGCCCCTTAGAAACTCGAGTCCAGAGCTCACAAAATGGTGCCCATGGGTCAGTTCCCATCTCTTGATGGCCCTGCGGGACTAGTGGTGTTTTAAAACGGTGGTGTTTTTGAAAAGAGTTTCCAGCAATTAAAAATTAGGAGATTTCACAGAAAAACCCGGATTTCTGTCTTTTCTTGAAAATCGGAAAAAAGAAAAAAAAAAAAAAAAAAAAAAAAACAGGGAAAAAAAAAAAGGAAGAAAATCAGAACATGGGACCCCCCCCCCAGTTCTGTGGTTTCAGGCTGGTGCTGAGAGGGCCCCCTTGAAGCTGGAGGGGGGACCATTCCCCCTGTTCCACTGTACACCCCAGCCCAGGAAGCTCACAGAGGATGGATAGTCATTCCTCTCAGCGTTGGGATCCAGAGCCATCCACCCCTGCATTTACTTGCCTGGAAGGGGTTGTAGGTGAACTTGTGAGAGGGACTGGGAGCCTGGGCCAGAATAAGCCTGTCCCTCTGAGCCTCCAGGGTGTCTGTGTCCCGTGCTGCCCCTCTTCCCAGGCTCGCCATCCCCAGGCCACCGGGAGAAGGACTTCCAGTGGCTACCGTTTACTGGGCACCTACTATATACAGGTCCCGTGCTGTGCTAAGCGCTTTAGAGATCTCCTGTCTTCTTTAACGTAAGGCATTTGTTTGAGGTCTGAAGAGCCAGATGCCAAGCTGGGCAGGGCTGGGCATTCATGCCAATTCCTGGCTGCTGTCCTCACCAAGGGCTCTGGCCGGGAGGCAAGGAGGGAGGGAAAAAGGAATGACAGAGGTGGGGCCTCCCTTAGCAGCCCTTGCTCTGCTTTTCCCAGGCACCATGGACACCGCCAGCCCCAGCATGGGGCTGTGGAGCTGGAGGGTAGGGAGGCCTCGGTAGGGGATGGGCATTCTGGCAGGGGTGGGCCCCAGAGTGGGGCATCTGCTTCTTCTCACCGGCAAAACAAGGCTCGCAGCTGTCCAGAGTGAGTAGGCAGGCTGACACATGACCTCGGCAGCAGCATGGGCCTAAAATTAGAGCGGGCCGGGGCTGGGAGGGAGCGGCCAGCCCTGGGCCAGGCAGCCAGGCCTCCGGGTTGGCCACCACCAGCACGGGTGGTGACCGGGATCCAGAGGGAATCCCCAGGCTGAAACAGCAACCCCTGGGGCCTGGGACACATCGGTCACCTCCTGCCACCCATGGGGCCAGAGGGGCATGCTCGAGATTGCTGAGGACAGGGGAGCCCAGGCCCACCTCGCGGGCCACCTGCAGTCCAAGCCCCAAGGAGGAAGGACGAGCAGAAGGAGGAGGTGTCCCTCAGATTGCTGAGCCGGCTCCGTGCCGTCTGCCTGCCCGCAGATGCTGCTCTTCCTCACCCTGTGGGCCTTGGTGCCCTGCCTGGTGTTGGTAACCCTCTACTTTTTCTCCTCCGTAGGAGGGAAGAGTGGAGGAAACAAGAAGAATGATGGTGTGAAGGTAAGCCCCCGGGAGCACGGCAGGGCCTGCCTCTGGCAGCCTTTCCGCCGACAGGGCCTAGTTTTCAGGGCCGGGGCAAGACCTAGGCCTTGCTGAGCAGGTGTGGTCACTCGTGCAATCGGGCTGGTCCCAGGATGGGTGGGGGTGGGTGGGGGAGGGGGAGGTCCGAAAGTCGATGGGAGAGGCAGGTGGCCTGGGGTTGGGGGGGCACAAGGAAAGGGGCAGGTCTGAAGGAGATTTCTGTGGTTCTTTGGGATGGGAGGACTGGAAAGTGAGAGGGTATGAAGAAGAGACAGAGCTATCATGAGGGGTGACCTCCTCCTTCCCAAGTGTGGGCTGGCTGGAATGGGCCCCTGACCCAGCGTGCACCCCAGTCCAACCCACAAAGCCCATGGAGGATGGATAGTCACCCCTCTTGGCTTTGGAATCCAGAGGCACTCACCCCTGTCAAGGCCTGCCAGTTGGGTGCCAAGAATCCCCTCCTCCCCTGACCCACCCCTGTCCGCACCCCCGATGCCCGAGCTACTTCCTTCCGCACCCTGCTGACCCCTCCTTCCCTCCTCTCTCTTCTCCCTCTGCTCTCTGGGGCCTGGCCCCCCTCTCTGCAGCTCCCTTCTCCCCTGCCACTGGCTTGCCTTGTGGGTTCTCCTCTCTTGAGACCCTGCCTTTTTCTGGGCTCAGAGCCCTGCCTGGCCAGGACCCCAGGGCTGGGCTGTGCCCAGGATGCTGGAAGGTGTGGGATGCTGTCCAAACACAGCCACCCAGGTGGGCTGGTGGCTTCATGGCTTCATTGTAGTAGTATTTGTGGTCTCAGGCCACTGGCTTTGGTTTGGGGGTCGCATGGGAGGGGATCTGGGCTGGCTGGCTGACTGAGGCCAGGATTTGGGTCTTCCTGCTGCTTTGAGCCCTCTGGGGGCTTGAGTTTCCTTATAGGTACAATGGGTGGAGTGGGAGGAGTGTGGACTCCATGATTTCTAAGATTTAAGCTTTAAAAACAAAAAAGAGAAAAGAAAGGAAAGGAAAGGAAAGGGAAAGAAGAGAAAGGAAAAGAAAAGAAAAAGGCAACTAAACCCTACCTAATCACTTTTCCTTCTCCTCTGGGTACTTGAGGAATACAGAATTACTTGGTTATAGCCAGCGTCAGTGGATTTCAAACTGAACTTCTTGGAGCTGGAAGGTTTGGGGGGAGGCATCCTTAGCAGCAGATGGGGTAGAGTGGGATAATAAGGGGGTGGCTGAGCAGAGAAGATACTGGGCTTCTCACGCCCACTAGAGCCAGAAGAACTCCATGTAACGGACCTCGCAGTGGTTGAAGAAGCCAGGGTGAACTTAGCAGTTGGAAGCCTCAGCTGGTTATCTGACTCCCTTGAGACCGTGTTTCCTCATCCGGGCAATGGGGTAAAAGGGTTTCCCACCTCCCAGGACTGCTTGTGAGGATGAAGGAAGATAATGGGTGTTGAAGACTTAGCAGGGGCCCTGGCATGGGGTACATGCTTTGTGTTTTCTAGATTGGACTTTGAAGTAAGATTTCTCTTGAAAACAAAGTTTGATCAAGGAAGTATTCGAAAACACAGATCTAAAGCCAAACCAACGTATAAAGTGAACACTTGCTTATCCCAAATGCTATGACGGAATCCAGACTTGAGTTCTGGCTTACTTGCAGTTTCGGGTTACCCATGAATCAAACTCTCCCCCCCTCTAATTGGAAAGGGTAATGGGGGGATGGGCAATTTGGGGGGCCCTGTTTGGGGCAGCCGGGGCCCTCTTGGCCATAGCGTGTAGACACTGGGGGTGCTCAGTTCCCTGGGAAAAGTCATATGTGGGGAATATAGGGCGGAGGCCACAGGGGCCTGTGAGCTGTGGCCCGGGTCAGCAGAGGAGGCGGGGGCAGATGGAAGGCTACCCCGTCTGCTTGGCTTTTATGTTGGCCCTGGCAAAGGGTTGACACAGAGCCACGGGTGTGAGGTCAGGGCCTCCCTCAGGCCGGGTCTTGGGATGAAACTCTCTTCCAGCTCCTCTCCAGGCCAGGCCAGGAGACAGAGGCTGTCTGAGGAAGGACATCGCAGAGCGTGGTGGAACTCCGGCTAGTCACAACAGGGCTTACCAGGGGCCACCGCTGAAGGAAAAGCCACTCCTTCCTATAGCGGTAGGAGGACCCTGAGTGACTTCTCAGGGTGGCTTGGGTGTGGATGAGAAGACACCCAAAGGCTCTTCCTGGCCAGACTGTCTCTTCATAGCTCAGCTTCCTGCCCTTTTTGGGGGGCTGGAGGAGAGGAAGCCAGCTGGAAGATGAGAGGAACCAGGGACCCAGTTGGGGTTTGGGGAGCCTGGCCTACAATATGTTGTTCTGGGGGTCCAGTCACGTGCTCCCCTATGAGTCAAGAAGCTGTGGGTTAGCCGGGCCCCATCGTCCCCTCCTTTGGAGACCTGCGTCACCAGTTCTGCTGTCTGTGCAAGGGGGAGGGGCCGGTGTTTGCTGGGCCAGCGAGAGGCTCGCACGAGAGTGGGCCCTGGGGAGTCACACCATGAGCTCCTTTAACCAACATATGCTCGGCCCCAGTGGGGAAGTATTTGTTCTTCTTACAACGTGGTCCCTGGAGAAACCACTGAGGTCATCGGGGGCTTAGCTGGAGGTGCAGTGGTTGCCGGAGGGAAGACGGGTTGGTCGGAACGCAGAGGATACTGGGCTTTATGGGCCTGTAGGGGCTTTTTGAGGCTAATTTTGACCCTACTCGATTTCTACCATCTTTGCAAACCCTAGAGCCATGCTTCTACATGTGGTTCTGAGAGATGTGACTCTACTTGTGGTGAAAGACCCCGGTCAGTATGGGGTTATTATTAGCACCATTGTCACTGGTGATCCAGGGAAATCGAATCTTTCTGTTCCCGAGGAGCACTGACCCCACCCCCACCCCTGCCACCTCTAAGCCTCTACTTCTATGAGGAGCGGCCGACTGCTCCCACCCCTCAGCCCCACTCACTGCCCCTGTTGGTGTCCCATCCGTACCATCGTGACTCCTCTCCCCCATGTCCCATCCTGTCACTGTATGTCCGACTCTGATGCAGTCTCTGCTCTGTGTTCCCTCCTCGTGTCCCGCCTGGAACCCTAGCCCCTGTGTTCCTCAGGTTTCTGCTGATGGCGAGCTGGGAGGGCCTGTCCCCTCCCACATACACTGTGCCTGGCCAGGCTCCTGCCAGGAGTGAGGCCGACCCTGGGGGCTGGCTGCAGGCTGCTGGCTGCGGGAGTCTCACTGTCCACCCAGCTGGGGCAGAGGCAGAGGCCGTGAGCCCTTACACAGGCCGATGCCCAACAAGCTGCTTCTGCCACGTCTTTGGGGTCCCTGGAAGGAGAACTCAGGATCTTGGGCTCCTGGCGCTCATACACTCCTGGATCTTGGAGTCAGAAAGCCCAGAATTAGACCTAAGGATCCTCAGAGAATAGCCAGTGCCTCCCCCAGGGCAAAGGCCCACCCTGAGGACATCTCAAGTCCTTCCCTACACACACACACACACACACACACACACACACACACAACACACTACAGCAAGGATAACAACCTCCAGGCCTCTCAGAAGGAAGGGCGTCCGTGAAGGGCCAGCTGAGGCAGAGCAGTCAGGCCGCGGTATCTGGAGACCTGCACAGAGGGGAAAGCCTGCACTCGGGGGTTCCCGCCTCCGCTCTGCTCCCGGATAGCTGAGAGACCTCGGACAGGTCACTGCCCATCTTTGGGCCCCAGCTTCCCATCCGTGCAATGCGAATGTCAGTATTAGACCCGTAGCCTCCACAAATGCGAGTCTTTACGACTCCTAGCTTACAGTGAGAGAACAAGAAGACAATGTGTCCTCTGTCTTTCTCCTCTCCCTTGGTTCCACGGCCAATAATATGAGTGAAGCTGCAAATCCTCCAAAAGCTGGACTAGGTGGGATGGCAGGGCTCAGCTGTGTGTCTGGCCGTGCCTCAGTTTCTCTGTCAGCCTAAGGGAGCTGAACAGGCCTGTCACTGGGAAGCTGGGACCAGAGGCAGGATTTCAAAGGCCACTTAGAGGACTGTCCATGCCCAGGGCTGCTTTGAAGTCACCTGGGGATACTGTTTAAAAAGCAGACACCCCACCCCAGACCTAGTTATTGAACTCCTTGAGGGGGCCTGGTTATGTTTCTTTTCTACAGGTTTCCCAAGGAACTCTGACATCCAACCAAACCAGGAGTGGGGTTCTTTCAGTAGACACACAAGGGGAGGCTAGGAGGAGGCATTGGGCCTCATCTCCAGACCTGAGCACCTTTGGTCCTGCAAGAACTTTGGCTTCCAGAGGCCTCTGGCAACTGGCGTCCAAGACCCCATCAGAACTTGATGTAGAGGGAGCGCTGGTCCAAGGGAGGCTTGGCCCAGAGCTTGCTGGTCAGATGGTGAGCCCCAGGCAGCTGTGCATGAGGCCCCCAAGAGCTTCAGGCTGAGAGAGGACTGGCCCTGCTAGGGCAGCTCTTGCTCATGGCCCTGACTTCTAGCCCCACTGCCACGCTGGCAAGGAATCTTAGAGGATGACCGTGAGGCTCATCATCCTTCCAAGCCCCCCCCCCCACTGTCGTTCGTTTCTTTGCTCCCTGCCGTTTCTCTGCTCCCTGCCGTTTTCACGCTGTGTCTTTTCCTGTCCCATCTCTTCTCCTTGTTTTTCCAGAAAAGAAAGTCCAGTTCCAGCGTTCAGTTAATGGTGAGTGTCTGCCGTCTCCCAAACGCCGGTAAATGCTGGGCCTCGAACCCTCGCTCCTGCCTCCCTCCTGCAGGCTGCACTGGGAACCCGGGGCGGGGAGAGGCTGCTCAGGGCGTGCTTGGTACGTGTGCCTCGTGTGACAGTCTGCGTGTTGCGTGTGCGTGTTGTTTGCGTGTTTCTGTTGACACCTCCAACTCCATGGCCCAGACCAGCAGCCTGGCCGTAGACCTGAGGACCTCCTCAGGTATGAAGGTTGATTTGAACCCCATCCCACGTCCAGCCCTTGGCTTCTTGCTTCTCCCCGCCCTCTGCTCTGGAACTCATCTCAGGGCTTGGTTTGTGCCAGGTGCGGCGCGGGGGGGCTTGGTTTGGCCAAAGGAGTGGGCGCCCGAGAGGCCCTTCTTGAGCTTCTCGACGCTCCCCAGGGCCCGCCGGTGGCAGCGGAGCCACCAGCCCCTGCCTTCTGTCCAGGGGTCCCAGTGGTGGCATGGCGGCCCACATCCCTCTTCTTCTGATTCCGTGGCTATCTCCCCCAGCTGTGCGGTTTTTCTGCCCTCGAAAAGCCCAGCCTCTCTCACACTGGGCCTCCCCTCCTCTCTCTCTTCCTCTCCTGCCGGTGTGTGTATCCCTTCCCCATTCTGTGGCCACCACGAGCCTCTCTGCTCTCCCACACCCTGTCTTGGCTCCCTCAAGCAGACAGGGCCGGGGAGCCCTCCCAGCCCTTCCAGAAAGGCCAGGGATCTCCTCGTACCCGTCCCTTCACCCATGCCCCCTGCCACCCACCACCTGCTTAGCTGGGCCCTCCCCCTCCTTAGGCTCAAGAGTCTGGCAGGGTCTTCAGGGCAGCATCTGGATGGCAGAGCCGGCGAGGCCGACAGAAGCCGGGCCGCCGCATCAGGCAGCCGGGGGGCAGCCCCCAACGGGCCGTGCCTCTTCTGCTCGCCAGCTGGCCCTCACCGCCTCCCGTGTTCTCTTTGGCAGGAATCTTCCGAGAGTACCAACACCACCATCGAGGATGAAGACACCAAAGGTAGGGGGGGCCTCGCCTTCAACGTCTGGGCCCCCCGGGCCTCCCGGCAGGCCCCCTTCCCTGACAGCCCCAGCCTCCAAGGGCCCCAGGGCCGAGCTTGTGTCCTGCTCCTCCACAGAGACCCTGGCTGTCGCCCCCTGCGGACTGGGCAGTGCCACCGCAGGACACTGCTTCCCGCGTGAGGTACTCGGGCTAAGGGCGGTGCACAGGCGGACTTTGCTTACTGCAGGGGTGGTGTGCTTAATTTTAGGATGTTTTAGGGGGCAGAACATTAACCTATTCAGGTCATAAATGTATCACGGTGGCAGACATTTTCTTTTTGAATTTTTTAAAAAATGAATTGATTTTAGGGGGCACCTGACTGGCTCCACTGGTGGAGCGTGCAACTCTTGATCTTGGGGTCATGAGTTCAAGCCCCACGTTGGGCATAGAGCTTACTTTAAAAATAAATAAACAAACAAATAAATAATAAACATGAGTTGATTCTAAGAACGTGAAGTGAAAAGAGGAAGGGAAGGGAAAGCAAAAATTCCGAAAATTCAGTTGAACTGGAGCGTTGCCTGAGGAAGGGAAGGGAAAGCAAAAATTCCGAAAATTCAGTTGAACTGGAGCGTTGCCTAAGACCAACCCCTAGTGGTTGACAGTCCCCACAAGCCTTAAGATGGAGGAGGGAGCAAAACCCTGAATTACTGTGACCAGCTGAGGGGAGCTAATAAGGATGATAAGAGGAATCATGGACACCCTTTTCAGGGCACTTGCTATGGGCTAGACCGGGTCCAAGTGCTTTATATCTACCTGAGCAGTGAGGTAGGTACTGTGATCGAGCCCATTCTATAGCCTGGGAAACAGAGGTTGAGTAAATTGGCCCAGGGTCCCCTAGCTCCTAAGGCTGGAATTAGGATTTGAACCCGGGCAGCGTGGCTCCAGGACTCCACGCCTGGTACCCGTGGTTCACAGGTTGGGTGTGTGGAAATCATGCTTGGAATTGGAGGAGGAAGGCTGAGGGTCGCCTTCTGCTCAGGGGACCCCAAATCGTTGGACGAGTTAGCGATGTCCTGCTGTCCTGTCCACACCAGCCATCCTCGTCCCATGGGACAGGGAGACTAGCCGGAGTGGGGGTTCTCACACTCAGCACATGTTGGAGACCCCTGGGGAGTCTTTGCAACTTAGAAGAACACCACTGACCTGGAGAGATTGCAGCCGTACCAGTGTAGACATTTTTCCATTTGGATATCGACCCCTAGAAGAGCACAATGAAGGGGCATTTTGTTACGTAACAAATACTTCTGCACAATTGCTCAGTCCACCTCTTAAGACAGTTTGGCACGCTGAACACCATGACTCCCTCCACACACTGCCCGGGGGCCGCGGAAGGTCGGCTCCACACCGTATGTGTCCCTGTGCAGTCATTCCCTGCCGGGCCTTGGGGCCAGTCACTCCATCACCACAGCCCAGCAGTAGAACACATCAGTCTTCCACGACGGAACTAGGGACGACCTTTTAAAAACCGACAATCTTATAGAAAAACTCCCCACTGGGGTCAGGTGTGCATTCTAAGTCCCTCAGGTGTGGTTTTCCAACCACATCCCTGGCCCTGCCCCTGTGGACTCTGTGGTGAGCCAAGACATGGCATATCCAAGACTGTTGCCACATTTAAAGCTCACCGTTCTAATGATAAAAGGCACTGGGATTTTGAGAAGACCTGTTAAGGCCTTGTGATGCTGGTCTCAGAGCAGACAGGGGTTGTAGAGGTGAACTGGCTCTATGCTTCTTCATGGCAGTCCATTTGCTGGGTGATTTTGGACAACTTACTCAACCTCTCTGAGCCTCAGTTTTCCTTCAGTAAAGAGGGGATGATAATGGTAACAATCTCAGAGGACTGCTGTGTGGATGAGATGAGAGGCTGCATATACAGTGGTTTCACAGTGTTTGGCACTGGTCATAGTTTAATAAATTTCAATTTCTTTTTTTTCAAACCGGAACTTACGGCTGAATGACAGGAAGCCACATGGAATTTTCTTGGAGCCTCAGTTTTACTCAAAGATTATTTTAAGACAGATATTTATATGTTAGAAATATTTGGAAAGGAATGTGAAATTTGTATGTGTTATAAATGTGAACATGACCCATCAAAGACATTCTCCCCCTGGGGTGATGGCTCTGGGTGGCATCCTGAGGCCTCACACTTGCTGTCATTAGATTCCGCTCTGGAGAGATCAGGATGGGAAAATTTGTGGAGTCTTAGATTTTAGTTCACCTGTACCCCTGTTACAGAGGAGCATCTCAAGCCCAGAGAGAAAGGGCAAGTCCAGGTTATTGATGGCAGAACTGGGGCCCTGTTCCCTTCCTCAGTTTCCCCCATGTAAAAGGCCATGTCAGATAGCAGAGACACTGGCTCAGCCAAGAGCTTCTCCCTGTGTTTGGCAGGAAAGAGGAGCCCTGTGCCTTCCCCAGCTTCTTCAGGCCTCAGAGAAAGTTTCAGAAAAAAACGTTTTCTGGTGTTAATTTGTTAAGTCTTCTCCCTAAGTGAGAATAGCAGCTGGTGGGGTAAATTCTGACCTAACATTAAAGTTAATTAGAAATGTCATCCTCCAGGGAACAATTTCCCCTGAGCGAAGAAAGAGACATTAATATTTCAGAGCACCTCAGGCTTAATGCACAGGCCTCTGGCCCTCTGAGTTGTGTGGACGGGGCTCTGCCAGGCTTTCTTCCCACTTCCCTAACTCCTACTGGTCAGCACCATGAAAAATTAATTTCTTCCCCAACCCAAAGAGCTGCCTCAGAATCTAGGCAGAGACCTTCTGGGAAATATTGGCCAGGAATGCTGATTCCATTTTAGCCTCAGCATGCTGTGAGACCTTCAGAGAGTGCCTGTATAGGAGCACTCCTAGATTGCATGGGTGAACACCTGGCAGATGAGAAATGCCAGAGGTTGCTGCTGAGAAGCTGCTAAATGAATCTCTCACATAGAAACAGGACTGCTGAGGACAGGGAAGGGAACCAAAACCAGAGTGAATTTCTCCAGCTCTAGGGAGCACCAGACTCCCAGATCTTCTGTCCCACAGATGAAGCTACTAGGGAGATTTCTGCCCACTAGACTTCCACTGTTGTTAAACTTGATGTTCTGAGTGGCTAGAAGCACAGCCAAGTTAGGCATTGTCTCTGGATGCGTTAATAGAGGTATAGTGTCCAGATTTGAGGAGCGGATAGAGAGTGCTACCCCAGACCTGATATTCTGCAATATTCAAGCCACATTGAGGATTGTGTGCTGACACTCAGAGAGGCATTTAAACAGCTCAAGGACCCTCAAAGAGTGGATGGCCAGCTTAAATCAGATCCTGCAAACCCTATCCTGGAGGCTTTCAGCCTTAGAAAGAGAAGACTAGTAGAGGGGAGAGGGCATAGGGTCTGAGGAAGCAGTACATACTCTGGGGCCCCAGGAGGCAGAAAGGGGAAGAGAACCATAACAAGGGGCTTTCAGAGGGGAGAGTCAGACTTAAAAGAAGAAGAAGGTGGGTGCAGAGGGAGAGAAGCCCAATAGTGTGTGTCAGGTTCCCTGGCAGGCTACAACCCCCAAAGTTCCAACCAAAAACGGAACCATCATGTCTCAGGCTGCTGGGAAGCATCCTGGCCCTGGCTAGAGACCAGATGCTGTCCTCAGGGAGAACTTCCAATTCGGAGATTTCCAGATGATAATAATCATCGCTCTTATTCACAGACTGCCAGGCACGGCTCTAAATGCTTTATATTGTGCACCATTATTGACATAAATGAGTTGATAGAAAGGGCTTGGAACAGTAGCTGGTTCTTAATGAGAAGCATACATGTGTTTGTTATTTCTACTGATGCATCCTTGACTTGGTTCTCAGAACCCCTTGTGAGGTAAGTACTATTAGAAGCTCCATTACACATACAGGGAAACCGAGGAACGGGGAAGTATAAGCAGCAGAGTCGGGCTCCAAACCCAGGGAGTCTGGCTCCAGATTCCAGGCCCCTGACTGCTCTCCTAGCGTCTCCGGGATGGCAGTGAGAAGGAGCCCACAGGAGTTAGGGAATGTCACGGGCTCATGGGATGTCAAGCTGGAAGGAGTGTTAAAGTCTGTGCAGAGAAAGCCAGGAGGTGGCCCAGGTCCCATGGCCTGCCAGGAGTGTGTGGACCGCTCTGGATCACCACCCTGCTTCTGCATGGGAGTGGACTGCCGTGTCACCTGGCAGAGATGGGTGTCTTCCTGCCCTCAGTCTCCATGAAGGAAGGCAGAGTTGGGCAGCAGGCCAGGCTTTTGGGCTCCAAGGGACAAAAACCACCTGGCCACTTGGTAGATTCCAGCACACAGGACAAAGACAGCAGCCCTAGGCCCGGTTCAGTCCACTCACTGATTAGCTCGCCCCTGCCTCCTCTGCCCCCACCCCAGGCGAGGCCCCCCAGTGTGAGCCGGCAGAGCTCACGGTCCAACACAGGCTCATTCCCAGCCCTGGTAAATCTGAGCAGAGCCAGGAGATCAAGAATTAGCCCCTCACTGTGCTGCTGACATTGAAGATGGTGACTGTTACGTCTTTGGGACACCCACCATGTGCCAACAGGCATGCTGGGCACAGGGACCCCTGCCTTGAGGAGAGTGTGATGGGTTTTGGATCTGCAGACTCTGGTGGGATCGGTCAGCCCGCTACAGCAGACAGTCACCCTCTCTCACCCGTGCTTTGCTCATCTCTGATGTGGCAGTGATGGCCACATGAAGTCATGCCGTGAGGCTTCCAGATGCTTCAGGCTGAGCACACGGCACAAAGGCTGGTGTGCTTGTTTGTGCGGTGGGAAACGCCCGTGGGGCCAGGTCTGTTCCAGGCCCGGGCGTCCAGTGCAACAAAGGCAGCCACAGCCTAGCTTCCACGGAGCACGTATCTAAGTTGGGAGATAGACAAGCGTATGGGCCTAACTCATCAGGGAGCATGGGGTGGGGAGCGTAGGGGTCCTGGGGAAAAGGCCCTGGGCTGGGAACCAAGCCCTACACCAAGGTGTTCTGTGTTCTTGGGCAAGTCGACCCCTTCCTGGGCCTCCATTTCCCCCATCATCTGAAAAAAAAAAATGGCCATCCATTTCCATCATCATCTGGAGGCTGAGGCTCTGGTCCCCAAGGTTTCTTTCAGCTCGGATGTTGTAGGATTCTGTGTCCTCTGAACCCGAGGTGAGCTCCCCGGCATCAGGGCTGGGGTGGCAGAGGCGGTGATGAGGAAAGGGGCAGGGACAGGGCCTCAGCCAGGCGTGTTTCCCCTCCTTCCGTCCCAGACTGAGACATGGCCACGTGTCTCACCAGAGGCTGCTCCGTAGGCCAGCCAGCTGACTGGGTTGGAAGTGAAGCATGGGCCCGTGTGAGGAGAGCCTGGCCCAGGGAACCATGCCAGGCTTCTGGTGGGACAGTCCTGCTGGGAGCCAGGACACTGGGCTCCAAATTCCTCCGTCAGCGAGGCTCAGTCTCCCCATGTGTCATATCGGGAGTGCTGGCCTTGCTGACCTCCTGGGGTGTCTGGGAGAAGTGGGTGAAGTCTGTCTGGTACGCCAGTCTGGGTTCGGCACTGAAGGGATGAGAGGTGGTGCTGTTTCCATTTCACAGATGGGAAAACTGGGGCTCAGAACAGAGCCCTTGTCATGAGAAAGCTGATGGCCTAAGCCTCTACCAGAAAAAGCCATTCGTCGTGTTCTGGGGGTGGACAGTGGAGGCCGGGTCTCAGCAACTGGGATTCATGATGCCTAGAAAGTTCTGAATCCCTCAGTCCTGATTCCTACAGGCCCCACATGGAGCAAAAAGCTCACCCAGACCTAAGGGAGCAGGAAGCCCTAAGACCTTCTTTAAGGCCCCCAGTTTGGGCCCAGGGGGAGCCCTGGTTCGTGGCTGCTAGCAACAACCACCACTGTTGACCCGGTTTTGATTCAGGTGGCAAAGCAAGGGGACAGAGTAGTGTATTTTGGAGTCAGCCTGGTTTCCCATGAGGCCTAACGTCAGAATGTCTGCCATGCATGATTCACTGAAGCCCAGGCTGCCAGCCGGGACGCTGACTCTGCCCTTTGCAGCTGAGGGAAATTTCCCACTCTTCTCCACTTTTCTGGGCCTCAGTTTCTGCCTCTGTGAAATGGAAGTAATGGTACCTGTTTCCCAGGGATAATGTGAGGCTAACTGAGACCGTCTGTACAAGGCTCTCAGGTCCCCACAGAGGGTCTGGCACATGACAGGGACTCAGAAAATGGTAGCTGGTGCTTCGTTATATTACTATCATTTCTCTGTGTCTCCTCCTGCCTTGCAGTGCGGAAACAGGAGATTATTAAAGTGACAGAGCAGCTGATTGAAGCCATAAGCAATGGAGATTTTGAGTCCTACACGTGAGTCGGCTGGGTCCACTCTGCATGTCCTGCCTGGATCGTGGCTCAGGGGGCGCTGATGGCTAACTTTGGGGGTTCTCGTCTCCAGTCCTCATTCACTCCCTCTGCATGTGCCATGAACCAGACTGAACTCGTATGTCTGTTTTGCATTTAGACTTTCTGCTTTAATGAAGCTTTCTGTTCACAATATTCTGTATCTCAGTCCTCCCTCTTCTCCTCCTCCTCATATCCTCCTCCTCATCTCTTGTTCCCCAGAAGGAACTCCAACAAAACTCCTTTGCTTCCCCCACCACAGCATGGGCCTCCTCAGGAGATGAGCAGGGAAGGAGGGGAGGGAGGCGGGCCTCTCCTCAGACCTGCTGCCTGGGCCTGTTCCTCAGCCTGGACCTCCTCAGGCCTCTGACCTCAGGTGGGCAGAAGCAGGCAGGAATCCACAGGGTGCGTCCTCCAGTGAGCAGGGGTGAGGAAACGAACCTCGAAACAGAACCTTAAATCCTCTGGGGAATAAGGCCAAGTGCCCAAAAATAACATAAAATGAAACAGATGGTATGAGATGTCCCCTACCCATCTGGACCAGCCTTTCAAGGGGCGGCTGTGTGCGAAGGCTGGGCTGGAGCGCCCCCTAGTGTCCACCCACAGCCTGCATGGTCTGGCCCAGAAGCGGGCCCCACCGCAGGGAGAGGGAGGATTCTGGGCTTAGCCCTCAACCTCTCAGCTAGGGCTGACAAGACCCCACATATGATTTTTGGTGGATAAAAGCTGCCATCTAAGGTAGAATGACCCTGCCTTGGGTTCTGGTGAGGTGGGAATAATTTAACTGGGATCTGGGTCTTGGGCAGCTGGTTCCTGGTTTCCTCGGTGCCCAGGACCTTAAGTTTGTCTCCCAAAGGCTTGGCAGGCCAGGTGCATTTTAATTGTGGGAAGGTTTCAGCAGCAGCAGGTGGCAAAGCCCCAGCAACCCACTGCTTCTGTTGGAGGAACAAGGACTCTGGAAGGTACAGGTGTGGGACGGAAGCTGCATGGACGCGTGTGTGCACGCACCTGTCCACATGTGCACGTTTGTGACTGTGTGCATAAGGGGTGTGGCTAGGCATGTGTGCACACGTGCACCCAGGTAAAGCCTAAAAGCACAGAAACACAGCACTAAACGGGTCTTGCCGGCAGCCCTCCTCAAGAGAGCTAAATCAGACCCAGGAAGAGCCCAAGACTATCTCTGGAAGGATACAGCCAGGGAGGGAGAGAAAGAGAGGTGGTTTCTATGGACCCCAAAGCCCTCCCTGCAGTGCCATTTCTGGGGACCCCCCACCTCTGTGATGTCATTCTCCTGGCATGTGCAGCCTACCCTAGGTTCTGACCCCGTGCCATCACCTCTGGAGCCTCTGGTGTCCTGAGTCTGGCCCTGAGTAGCCCGCGCTCACTGAGCCTCAGTGTCCCTAGATGTGTAATGGAGTTGGAACAGGTGGTCTCTGAGTCACTTCAGAGTCAGGGACCCCAGAGACTTCCTGGAGAGGGGCTTCTCCAGTGAGGGGCTCAGTCTCCCCGACACTTGGGGCTCAGACCCCCAGACTTGAAGACTTCTGGAACTGAAGGGTCCTGAGTATCTCATATGGTCTGAGCTGGACCCCCAGCCCCCCACTGAAGAATTTGGGCTGCTGAGCCGAGAAGCGAGTTGTTTGGGGTCACACGGAGAGGGACAGTCAGGGAAGAGCAGGGATAGAGTGGCCTACACTCCTCACAGTGCCCAGATCAGACAATGCCGGGCCCCATACCTGTCCTCCCCCTGTCTCCTGTTCCTCCCCGGCTTGGGATCTTTGCTTGTCCAGAGGTACTTCCTGTCCCTGGCTGCAATGCCACTGTAACGGGGTCTGTGTTGTGCCACAGGTCCCAGAGGCCTGGAGGTGGGGGAGACAGTTTTTCCTTCCTCAACCTGACTGTCAGGGTTCCCCAGAAGGCTGAGACCTGGAAGGGAGCTCTGAACCGAAAATACATGCCTTCCTCCCAGGCATGACTTCATGGAGGGCTACTTTCCTCACATTATAGAAGAGGAAACTGAGGCTCATGCTGAGGGCAAAAGGGGCACCTTTAAAGAAGCAAAACACACCCCCTCCAGGGACATAACCTGCTCTGCGAGCAGAGGTCACTTTCACGTGAAGGAAAAAGTACTCCCCTGCCCCCCCCAGGAAGGCAGATTGGCCTGGCTGCCCTGGGCAGGGAGATGTGATGTAGAGACAAGCCTGCAGGCCGAGTGACCCGCAGCCGGCGCCCGAGGGCTGCCCACAACGCTTCACGGCCCCTTGCAGCGCTCTCGCTTGGTGCTGGGGGTCTTATAACCAGTGAGTGGCAGGAGCTGGACCTGCACCCAGGCTTCCCAGTTTTATGTGGCACCCCTAGTGGGCGGTGGGTGCCTCACGGTGCAGTTGGCAAGCCTGTTCCCCCCCCCACCACCACCACTGACCGCACCGATCCTGGGAGTCCGGCGTGATCACTTCAATGTCACAGCACCCCCCTCTCCAGCCCAGGTCCCTGGAATGAGAAGGTGGTCCCAGGAGGCCAACCCAAGCCCTCTTTTCTCTGACTTCCTCCCCCTAGGAAGATGTGTGACCCTGGGATGACGGCCTTCGAACCCGAGGCCCTGGGGAACCTGGTCGAGGGCCTGGACTTCCATCGATTCTATTTTGAAAACCGTGAGCAATCCCTTCTCTCTGGGGTGCCTGTTGTCTGCTCTCGTTCCATGTCCTGCCGGATGGCACAGCAGGGTGACGGGCAGGGCCCCCGGGGCAGCTCAGGAGCCCGCGAAGAGGAAGATCCCGTGTGGACAGGGGTTGGTACCATCTTGGTTCCCTCTCATAACCTGGGCCCGTCCGACCACCAGTTGTCCCTCCTGTGGCTGAGGATGGGGACCTGGGACAAGGGTGACAAGTCCTCCCAGCCCTCTCCTGCCCCTGCCCCCGCCCCTGGGAGGGTGTGGGGATGGCCTTTATTCTCAGTTTCCAGATGAGAGAGCTTTCCTGCCTGGGCATATACCCGTGTCACAGCCATCTAGATGTCTGGGGCCACCCCAGCTCTCCCAACTGGTCACAAGCTGGCTGGTGAGCTGTTATGCCTGTGGGTGGGCAGTCTGGGGAAGAGGAGGGGACCCAAGCTCACACTGCTGTGCCCCTGCCTGTGTGTCTAGGTCTCTGTCCGCATGTCTGTCCTTCCTGGGCCTCTCCTCTGCAGGAGAGACCCTGGCAGCTTTGCAACTAGGGGCTGTCAGGGGGCTGAGGCTGGGCCTGACCTAGGGCGCTTTCTGCCTGTGTCCATGTCTCTCCTTGGCCAGGGTTCAGACAGGGACAAACCAAAGCACGTGCAAGGTAGACTCCTCTAGCTCAGGACCTACAGGAAGGCCCTGAGTGGCATATCAAGGTACCCCAAAGGGAAGGTATATACCCCTGAGGCTATGCAAGATGGTTTCTGGAGCACGTGGGCACCGCTTGAAACAGCACTGGTTCGCACAGTGAGAAAGCTGGTACCTTGCTCAATTCTCTTTCAATACGTGCAGCTTCATCAGGGGGCAAGGCTCAGCTGGGCGCTAAATCAGACTGTACCTTACAGACCAGAGGGGCCAAGAGCCCCTCAACAAGCTGAGAAGGAAGTTACCTTTTCTCTTAATTCATCAAACTCTGATGCTCCAAGGATAGCAGGGGAGGTTAAATTTTCATGTGAAGACGGGTGTCTGGACCCTAAGTTTTCTCCATCACCCTGGAGTTCCCTGGCTCCTCTCTATATGGGTCTGTCTTCTGAAGGTGCTGGTTTCCCAGTGTCAACTCCCCAATCCCCACTGAGCAGAGCAGAAACCAGGCCGAGCTGTCTCTAGAGGCTCCGAGATGAGGAACACAAAGAGAATGCTGAACTAGCTCTTGGCCTGGGTCCACACCGAGGGCCTCATCACAACACTGGCCCCCTGGACTCTAGGTTTGAACGCCAGCCGGCCCATGAGTGCAAGACCCAGAGTGACTTCTTGGCCCAGGCCAAGTCCCAGCATCCTGCCTCTTTTTCCCTGCTGGAGGACCTGGCCCTTTCTCCCATGCTGCCTATAAGGGTGGGCGTTAGGTCACGGTCTCTTCAGAGATACCACATTAGGATGATCCTTTTTTACAAACGTCCCCCAGAACTCCAGCCCCTGCCAACAACAGCGAGGCACCCTCAACAATGCTGAGCTCGTTCATCTCTTCTGAGATTGTTCTAGATTGTCCTAATTCAGTCCCATCTGGAGACTGACTTCTTTTAGGTTCTATTGCATTTCATTCGGGAAGTGGCCCAGCTTGGGACAAGTCAGATTGCTTTTCTGGACCTCAGTTTCCAGATGTGTTTAATGGAGGCATTGACCTAGATGGTCTTGGGTGCCTCCAGCCCTTGTTGTTGTCAAGGATGCTTATGGAGGCCTCATTGCATTTTGTAGGAGGGCCACTGAGTGACCTCTGATTTCTGAGGTTACTCCCAAGCCTATAATGCAAAAGCTCTACCTTCACTGAGAGCCCAAAATGGTCACAGTCTGTTAGTCTACATATGTAAGTCTCAGTGATTTGGTGTTCCGCAGACAAAGCCTGGGTATAGTGTGATTATAATATTAGGGATGCTTTTGGTAGTTCAGGAAAAAAAAAAAAGACATTTTACATTTCCCAGGAAACCCATGGCTCACAAACCTGGCTGGGCATCAGAATCAGAGGGTGTGGAAGGGGAAGGAGGCTTTCGAATAGTATAGATTTTTGAATTGTCATCTTCAAGAGAGGAGATAGGCAGTGTATTTTTTAAACTGGTCCTCTGTGGGATTTGAACCTGCCTTTGGGCTACACAAAGAGAAGGAATGAGGGTTCCTCTGAAGCCCGGGACACTCATGACCCCAGTCCAGCCCTTCCCTGGGTCGTCTTTCTGTGCTTTTGTTTTCTATCTTGCTGAAAACATGGAGAGTTCCTAGAACTAAAATAATTAATAATAATAATGAATAATAATTGTAATAATAATAGTGGCTCACATGCGTCATAGAGAAAGCTGGCTTCAGGTACCTTTTTCAGTTCTGTCATGATTACAAGAGTTATGCCTTTCTGCTTGACTCTGGAAATCTCCATGACCTCACCCCATGACCACCAATTCTATCCTCATGATTCCAAGATCCCAGGATTCCTCAATTTTAATATGAATCAGGTTTCCATAATTCCATATGTCAGGAGTAGGGATTGCAGATCAGGGGTCCATAGGCCATATCTAAATGACATATATGCTTCGCGTGGACTGCATGAGGTTTTAAATTTGAATTAGTGGCCAATAATAAAAATGAGGCATTTTCACATAAAAATTCAGATTTCTAGATTCTCCTCAAAAATCAGGTGTGGCAATGTGGGTTCCATTAAAGCTGACGCTTGAATAACACGGGTTGGACCTGTGTGGGTCCACTTCTACACACATCTTCCCCAATAAGTACAGACCGGCCCTGTAAATGCATTTCCTTTTCCTTGTGATTTTCTTGATAACAGTTTCTTTCCTCTAGCTTACTGTATTGTAAGAACATAGCACATAATGCAAATAACATACAAAATGTGGGTTAATTGACAGTTGATGTTATCGGTAAGACTTCCAGTCAACAGAAAGTTGTTAGCAGTTAAGTTTTGGGGAAGTCAAAAGTTATATGTGGATTTTCAAGTGTGCAGGGGGGTGGGGTGGGGTGTGGCTAACTTCCCTCCCCCTCATTGTTCAAGGGTCAGGTTCTCACAGAGGGCTCCCAGGGAAGCTGTGGACAGGGCGCCCTCTGCAGGTCGGACAAGGTGTGCTATTCACCACAGTCTCCACCTCTCCCTATCGCTCGCTCCCTGACCCAGAGGCAAAGGGTCTGTTGCTATTTAGCATCTTATACCCTGCTCGCCCCCCTCGTTTATGTACTTGTCTGGCCTCTGTAGGGAACCTGGTTTTGAGACCCTGGTCTAAGTTCATCTGAGTCCACAGTCATAGCCGTATACTTCCATGCGTCTGAGATCCTGTGATTCTAAAATCCCATTCCCCTGTGTTTAAAGAATTGGCATGTCTGAAGTTCATTGTCTCTAAGCTGGGATCTGCTCTAGCCATCTGGAAGTTCTGCCTGGACTCCTAGCTGAACCCCTCCTGTGGAAATGAGGCAGGCGGGGGGGTGCCTCTGCTGAGAGGGTCGCTGGGAGATGGGGAAGTGAAGGAAGGGATGCAGGAGGCCTCCCGTTGCATCTCCTCTGCCCCCTCCCATCCCCACCTCCAGTGTGGTCTCGGAACAGCAAGCCCGTGCACACCACCATCCTGAACCCCCATATCCATCTGATGGGCGACGAGTCGGCCTGCATTGCCTACATCCGCATCACGCAGTACCTGGATGCAGGCGGCATCCCCCGCACGGCCCAGTCCGAGGAGACCCGCGTCTGGCACCGCCGGGACGGCAAATGGCAGATCGTCCACTTCCACAGATCTGGGGCGCCCTCCGTCCTGCCCCAGTAAGAGCTCCTCCTTCCTGCCATCTGTCGTCTGGGACAGTCTAAAAGAATGGGGGGACGGTGTCAGTCTGGAGGGGGCCATGTTGGGGAACTTGGGTGCTGGAAGGCCATGGGGTGGGGGCTGGAGACCACGGGGAGGAGAACAGAACTGCAGGTTCCTGGGGTGGGGTGGGGGGCTGAGCGGGACCCACCAGAAGCAGCTTCAACACCATCTAAGGATGGGGAGGGGGCTGCCCTCAGAAACACTTGCATTACCCCCAATACATACAATTTCTTACAGCTGAAGGACCAGGCCGGGGGCCCTGGACCGCAGAGATTTACTCTTCGTTCATGGAATGTGGCTGCTGGTTCTCCCACTTGGATTTTGCTGGAATTCCCCCACTCACGTCACCTCACTACCACCATCATCACCATCACCGTCAGAGCTATGTCAAAAAATCCTGCCTGCTCACAAAAGCTATCACGACTTCCGAGCAAATGGCACATCTCCCTGCCACCCCCTGTCCCTTTTGCTCTGTGTCACCTGCCAGGGCGGGGCCTCCTCAGGACTGGGTGCCCGGGGAGGTGGGGGGGCTCCCCTCTGGGTGCTGGCTCCGAGGGCTCCCCCTCCTGGCTGTTGTCGGCCTGGTCTTGCCTTGGCTGTAGGCCAGAATGCCCAGCTGTGTGTCCCCCCAGCCGCTGAGGAGAAGGAGGGGCGGAATCAGGAGGAATGTGGCATCCGTCCCCATCTCCCTGTCTCTCCCTTCCAGGGTCCCCCAGCCCCGTGAGCCAGCCTCCCCTGTGGGAGAGGGTGAGAGAGGAGCAGACGCCAGGAGCCCCCACCTCACACTGCCTCCCTAGCTCCTCCTTCTCCAGTCCTGCTCGTCCTCCTGTCCATGCGGACCCTTCTCCCTCCGTGTGTGGAGTGCGATCCTCTCAGGGTGCCCCCACTCTTTCCTTCTGCCTTCGGCTGATGTTTACGTCCAACAGTAACGCCCATTCCACCCTTCCATCAGTCCCGGAGAATTCCAGCTTCGTCCCATCAGAGGGAGAGAATCTGATTGCTTTTTGGGGGCAAAGAAGGCACGTTTAGGTACCACTCCTACTTGGACCGCATGCCTTTTTATAGCCAAACTCCTTTGTGTTTCGTAAATGGATTTTGCGTTCATGGATATTTATGTAATAACTAAACCTCTCAAATTATTGTGAGGAGGGTCGGGCCGGGTTGGGAAGGGATGTGGGAAGAGGGGTGAGGGGTAGATTTTTTCTGTTCTAGGTCTTTTTTTCTTCTTCTTCTTCTTCTTTTTTGTGTTTTTTGTTTTGTTTTGTTTTGTTTTGTTTTTTTGGTTTGTTTTGTTTTTGTTTTCATGTCATCTCTGAAATTCACTCTGTCACCTGTGGTTATCTGGGTCCGAGGTGGACTCAGCCCTGGGTGGGGCGGAGGGCCTCGCTGACATTTTGGTCCCAAGGTTCCTTTCAGGACTCTAGAAACACCAGATGTTAGTGCTAAGAAACAGCAAATCAGGGCAGAGAGAGTGGGGGAGGTTGTCAGGACAGAAATATCTTTTTTTTTTTTTTTTCTTGCCTCCCAAACTGAAGTTCCTACTAGGACACTTCCCAGCTTCCCAGGATTTCATCCCACCGCATCCGTATGTGCCCCCCCCAGCACTCCCCAGTCTTTGGGGGTTCACGAGCATGTGTCTTCATTGCCTCTCCCCTCCTCATCTGCTGGTTCAAGCAGAGCACTGGAATTTCTCCTCTTCACGCCTCGTCCTGCAGCCGTGGGTTCGAATCTCTTTCTTTTCTTTTCTCTTTCCCTCTTCCCCGGGATTGACTCTGATGTGGAATGCCTTGGCACGTCCACTAGGATCTACTGTCTGCACTGTTTTCTTTGCATGACTTATATGCAGTAAGTATGTTCAAAAAAAAAAAAAAAAAAAAGAAGAAAAACATTCAGCAAAAAAAAAATCCAATTTTTTGGAAAAAAAAAAAAAAAAAAAAAAAAGAGGTTGTATTCTCAGTGTCCGACTCGGAATTATGTTGCCGCCTCTCTGTGCTTTTTGGCCTCTGTGTGGCCGTGTTCTGCCAGCATGAGATACTGTCCCCTCTGGAGGATTTTAGGGGAGGAAGAGCCACATCCCCGGGGATCTGGAGGAGGCTCTGGTTCCCCTGAACCTCTGGGGAGTCCTGGATGTTGGCTGGAGGACTGATGGGGATGTTTGATCTGGGACTTTTTGAGTCCTCCCTGATCATGAGATGTCTGCTGGGCCCTTTTCTCCATAGCTGCTGCCCTGGGGACAGGTGAGGCAGGCTGGACTGGGGCTGCAGGCCAGGAAAGAGGCTGCCTGGGCTTCCTGCTCTCCACATTGGTTGATCACTGGCCTCTATCCTTGGCAGACACCCTGCTGCTGAGGCCCAGGGCGTAGGGACTTGGCCTGCCCCGGGTCCAGAGGGCTTCCCACTAAGGCCCAGTGATCCCAGCGTCCCAGCAGTAAAACTGCCTGCCTCCCTTGTGAGCTGCCAGCTCCCACAGCAAGCCCCAAGCCCAACGTGAAGGTGTGGCCTTCACAGGGGATGCTGCAATTACCAAGACCAAGTCTGGTCCCCTTCTCAGCCTCAGTTTCCCCATCAGTTAAAGGGTTAAATATTCCTGCCCAGCCTATGCTGCAGGGCTGATGGGGGAATCCAACGGGATTGTGAAGTGAAACCCAATGTACCTGTGAGAACTGACAGGGTTAGTCACTGGCTAGACTCCTGCTTCGTTTGGAGCCTGGCCAGCCCACCACTCCCGCACCTGCCCCTCATTCCCCTCTTTGGTGCCTGTCAACTGCTCATTAGCAGTGGACTGCGGGCAAAGAGCCATGCTTTGGGGGTTACTAGGATTAGGATTCCATCCCCAGGTCTTACCAGACTCGCTGTGTGACCTTGGGCAAGTCCTTTTCCTGCTCTGGCCCTGGGTTTTTCCACCAGGGACAACTGAGCTGGAGGACCCCAGTGTCCTGATTCTCATTTGCTGGCACGCCTCATGCCTCCTATCCACTGTGTCCCATTCCAAGTGCCAGAGAAATGGAGGCAGGTCCCTACCCCAGGAGGAGACGGCTCCCCCGGAGGAAGTCCACTCCGGTGGGTAGGAAGTCAGCCAGCATGGACCACAGGGCATTGGTGCCATCCTGAGGCCCAGGCAGGGGAGGCTGGCAGACACAGCAGCCCAGAGCCCAACCCCAGCAGACAGTGAAACTCTGCTCCTCTAAAACATCCTGTAGATGCAAAAAAAAAATCCAGACCTAAGACCAGACCTAGGCTCCAGCATGCCAACACCTCTATAGGAAAGTATTCTCCCAGGACTGTGCGCCCCTGGGCGCTAATCCTGGCCTCCTGTCTCCCAAAGGGAGACCCTTTGGGGGATGTGTTTGCCAGACTCCCCGTGCTGGTTTCTTTGTTACTATTTGTTTGGGGATTTGTTTCAGTTCTTCCTTTCCTTTCTTTCTTCTTCTTCTTCTTCTTTTTTTTTTTTTCCTTTTTTAAAAATATGTGGCTGTGAACTTGAATGACCACTGCTCAAAACTTCTGCTATTGGGTGGGAGGGGGGAAGAAGGGGTGTCTGTTTTACTGGTGTTTTCAGTGCAATAAATAGCTACCAACTTCTGCGCACTTGCTCTCTCCCAGTCTCTGCTGAACAACCACACTGGGTTGGGTTGAGGGGGTGTTTGTTTCCTGTTCCAGATCTCGCTATTTGCAAAATAAAAGCCAAGGTCTCCTTTCTGATTGGGCCAACTTGGTCTCATGCTCAAGACTGAGCTAATTACAGTGGGATTATGCCTGGACACTGTGGCCTGGCGTTAGAACCAGGGACGGGGCTGATTTTCTCTCAGCCACACCAGGGGCCCTGTATCCAGAGGAAGGGGGAGGTTGACACGGGTTGCCGCAAACAGCTGGCCGGCAGCAAAGTCTCTCGAAGGGGGCCTGGGGGCAAGGCTCTTCTCCTCTAGGCCTTGGATTCCTTGTAAAATGAGAGTTTATTCCAGAAGAAGTCCCTCCACACCTATTCTCCTCCCTCAGCCCAACCTCACAGACAAGCCGCCAGGCCTCAGAACTCCTGGAGACTAGTTTGGAGAAAGGGGTAAGAGAAGAGGTCCCTCAAAACCCACACACTGTGGACTGAGTGCCTGGGACAGGAGCCCTGGGGCTGGAGAGAGGGACGGGATGAAAGGCTCCATTGGCCAAGGGGCGGCCCCCTGCCACAGCAGAGGAGAGTGTGGTTCTCTGCGTCCAGGCTGTCAAGGTGGAGCCAACGTGTGGATGCAGAGGCCTTGGCCCTTGGGCCACGGCGAGGTGACCACCCATCCTGGTTTGCTGACACAGGACAGTCCCAGGCAAAGCAGGTGAGCTGGTCACTCAGCCACGCAGCCCCCTAAGTTACCTGGATTCCACAGCGCCAGGGGGATGTGCCTTCTGGAGCCCACAGTTCCCTCTAGACCATGCTCGGGGTGTCTGGGATTCCAGATTCCTGCACCAGCCACTTCCACAGTCCATCCCCACTGCTGGTATGCAGAGGGGCCGCAAGGCGTGTGCCCTTTGCACACACAGGACGATCTTCACAGTGAGAACAGAGGCCAAGGATGCGAGGGGCCAGAGGGTGGGTTGCAAAGGGATGTGGGGCCTTGCATTTGCACTCTTGGCCTGGAATCGGGATGCTATGACTTAGCGCTGGGACTTCTCTCAGCTCCACCCTCCCGCAGACTAGAGATCTCGATTTGGCGGGAGGAAGGGTCTGAGGGCGGGCCAAGGGTTCATGCTGCTATGGCAGATACTCGCCAGCAGGTGGCAGCGCAGGAACAGGTTACAGGCAGGCCCTGGGCCCTGAGGCTCCAGCTCCCAGTGAACGTCAAGAGGTACCCTTTGACTCTCAGAAAGTACCAACTCCACCCAAAACGCTACTGTTATCTGACAGGAGCATGACCCCTTAGAGTTCACAGAGTGCTTTCACAATACCTCTTGTGTCAGAACAGCCCTACCCTGAAAAGGAAGACAATGACACTCAGAGGCAAAGACGGAACCAGGGGTCCCTCCAGGGCCTCCAGTGTCCCATTGCTTTTCTTCCTGTCTCTGAACAGCCAGCAAATTGTGACTTGGGTTCTTAGGAATCTCCTATCTTTGACCCTCCGTCCCTTCCAGCGACCGCCCGCAGTCCCTACCTCCCCACTGCCCATTTACTACAAAACTCACTGACTCCCTCGAGCTAACTCTTCCCTCACGCCAAGGACCAGGAACCCCACGCCTTTGTGTGTGCTCCCACAGTCCTCAGTTCGCCCATCCATTGGCCACTGCGTTTCTCTTCTGCTCATTCCACGTTGTAGGGCAGAGGGAGGGAATCTGACTGGGATGGCCCAGGGTGTGAGGAAGGGGGGTGGGTTTCAGAATTTTAGCCCCTCCAAACACCTGCTGGGGTCTGCTGCAACCAGCTGGGCTCTAAGTAGGACCCAGTGATGAGCGGGACCTGTCTCTTGTCCCCAGAGAGGCCACCCCAGAGAGTGAGAGCCACGTGGCGACCCGGAGTGCACGGTGGGCTGGGGTGGGGGCTGGGCTTGGAGATGCAAGGCCTATCGGAGCCAGAGGAAGGAGCAGAAGCGTGGCAATGACTGGAGGTGCTGAGGAGGCCTTGTGCCCATGCTCAACAGGGTGAAATGGGGGGTGGGGTGGAGGCAAGGCAAAGTCTGAGAGCCCAGAACAGTGGATCAGGTAGGGGTGGGGAGAGACAAGGCTAGGGAGGAGGCTGTGGGAGATCAGAGTGTCAGAGTGTGTGCCAAATCTCCTTTGTTGTGGATGTGATTTTCTGGGGCACAGGTAGGTCCCCAGCAATGGAAATGGCCTTCCCCAGACCCTAAATCCTTTAGGAAACATCCCCCAGCAGGTGCTGGCAGTGTTTGCACAGGGCAGGGTAGGGCAGGACCAGACCTGTGGGAATGGCCCCTGCTCCTTGTCCTTCCTCCTGTGACGAGCCCCACCCTCCCTCCTCCATCTGGACCTACCAAGGTCTTAGAAGCCACCTTCCTCTGGGCATCCTGGCCTCATCATCCTTTCCTGGGCTTTGGGCCACAGCCAGGGGATGGATGGAACGATCTAGAAGTTGACTACTTTCACCCAAGAAAAAAGGGAGAATTACCATCATTTTCTCCCGGTGTGACCTTGAGTGAGTTCCTTTCCCTCTCGGGACCTCAGATTTTTCACGTTACAATAAGGGGGTTGAACCTGTGGTTCCCCAAATACGGGAACTGTGCCGGCTGCTGCAGAATCCCCCAGGGAATAGGCTAA